AAAAAAAAAAAAAAAAAAAAAAAAAAAAAAAAAAAAAAAAAAAAAAAAAAAAAAAAAACGAAAATAACAAACAAAAAGAGATAATAACGACGAATCGCGATGCTTCTGCCTCTGTAGCCGACGTCCACGCTGTTCAAGACTCAAGCGGAGAGTGACTTCGGAACCGGTGCGGGACACCTGCCGGCTAGATGGTCGTCCTCGGTGTCGTCGACGACGTCCTCAGTAACGTCGACGGACTCGCTTCAACAGGCACGCACTGCTTACAACCAGCAAGTTCAGAACGCACACGGCCTAGGCTCGTACTACCCGCCGATCTCTCCAGCCCCGGTCGCTCTCCCCTTCCACAAATATTCGGCAAGTGATCCGATGACCCTACAAATGTACACCCACATCCACAATTACAATTTGTGCTAACAAACTCCTCCTTTTCTTTCCAACAGACGTCGCAGATACTGGGTTATCCGGCTCAAGTTCCATACTGCTATCCTGTCATGGCGATGCACTATCCGGCCGGCCGGCTGACCGCGGGTACCTTAGAAGCCGCAAGCGCGTCCCAGCGCATGACCACGGCCGAACAGCTCGAGGCCCAGTGCATGCAGCGCTACTACAGGTTGTCCGACGTGGCTGCCGGGGCCGCGGGCAGGCAGGTAGTACCGATCGCCGATTACCGAGGTAGTCAAGTCGGCCCGATCGGCCTGCAGGATTACGCGCAGCCCGACCAGCCGTACACGAGACTCCTCAGCCAGGTGGCTTCTGGTAATTATGGTGGCCTCGATCGGACGTCGCAGCAGCAGCAACAGCCGGCAGCCGAGGAGACGACGCAGCAGCAGTCGCCTCCCGAAGTGGCTCGAGGGGGTGGCAGGTCCTACAAGAGCGGAGCCCCGCCACCTTACCAGCAGGTCGTCGGCACAGGTGATAGCGAGTACAACGTACGTGCAACATTTTGATTCCCCCCCCCCCTCCCACCCCCAGTGTATTTCTAGTGAAGGTGGCCGGGACGAGCGAGTTCGCTGAAAATCTCTATATATAGACTCTGTAGTAGACGCTTACGCGTGAACTTTGAAACCGATGGGTCTTCACAGACTACGGCCTGCCGTAGATGAGTACACGATGAATACGCATCAGCGACATTTTTTGACCACTCGACACGAACGTTTTGGGAGTGTTTTATGAAGGGGAAAATAATAACCAAAACATTCGTGCTTTACGTTAAAAAAAAACGCATACAATCGTCACTCCCAGAATATTTGCACCAATAAATGCCTCTACACCTCTAACTCAATAATTCACTGGATAAGTAATAATTCACGTACACTCGTATGCCCATCTACCTGTTATAGTTGTAGGGGAGGCTGGTTGGCGAGGTCCATCGATTTTTAAGTTGACGCTTTTTTTTTATCTCTTTTGTACTGTATGTTACGTGAGTTTTCGTTTTTTTTTTTTTTTTATCTTATAATGTACCTAATACATTGTGATATTGTACTCATTGTCGATTAACAAACCTTTTCTTTTTTTTTATGTATTATTAATAACCATTGCGTATGTATGTATGATTCTTAAAAGTCAATTGAGTTTTTTTTTCGTACTTAAGTTTTCGTGAAAAAAAAAAAAAAAAAAAAAAAACAGAATTTAGATAGCGAATCGCACTCTGTGTCGCGCGATGGGGTAAAAATTGTCCAACAGATTTCAAAACAACGTTTGATATACACACACGCTCGCGTGCTCGTCGCATGATGTGCGCACACCAGTGACGAGGAATNGAAAAATAATAAAAATTGACCGATCGTAAGGAGATGAGAAAAATCAAAGTTTGCTGCTAGCTTTTCCCTTCCCATTGGCTAACTTGTTGAGGAGTTATTTATTTGTTTTTTTATACATTCATCCGAGGCTCACCGAAAAACAGTACAAGTCGCTAAATAAAAGTTTTGGTGGTTGGAGAAAACAAAACAAGTCTCCACGTTTCTTTTATTTGAGAAACCTTACGAAGTATTGTACAAATGAAAATAGAATGAAAAAAAAAAAAAAAAAAACTTTTATTGAAGTTTTAATTTTCACTACTGAATTATTGGTAAAAATTTTATTTGAAAAACTTTTTTAACACATACAAATCATGTTGATATAAAAGCGAATTCGTGCAATGAAATCCGAATGAAGTCGAGATTCAATTTCAAATAAATTACTACAATTTAGCCGCAAAAATATCCTCTCGAAAAGTTGAATATTGCAAATGAATGTTTATTTGATTTCCTTTTGACTAAATGTTTTACACAGCGGTAAAATTAAATCCTACGAGCTCTGCAAAACCAATAATACGCATAAATTAAAAACTTTTACGTAACACTATTTCGAAATGGACAGTTTCGATTAAATTAATTGCCATTTTATTAGAGAAAGTGTAGTGCATCAATAAATGATACATTCTTCAATAAAGGATTTTAATAATAAGCACACAATTTTTTATTTTATTTTTATCATACCAAAATGGAAAATTAAAATGAAAAGCTCTGCGTTCCTAGTAAGTACTCCCCAATTAATCTTCCGTAAAGCAACAAAAATTCAATTGAAATGATATTCCAAATACTTTTTTAAAGAAAAAAAATGATCATCGAAAGAAAAAGAGCTCAAAGTAAAATTTTACTGCACGTAATATTCGAATCATCGCACATGTCTGTGTGAAAATTTCATGATGAGATTTTTATAACTTATTATACCTAAAAAAATGAAAAAAAAAATGTATACACGTGTTATATGATATTTTTGTAATGTAATGTCGAACTTAATGTCCAACTTCTGCCGGACTAATCAAACACGATTAAAATTATTTTGAAACAGAAGTTATAACAACAAATGCACACGCAAGAGGTAAAACAAGTTTTCTTCATATATTTTCCTACGGTCATCACTGTGCGCATAGGTAACTCGAGGAAACTATGTATACACTTGTCTTGTATCCCCTCTCATATCTAGATCTGTGAATATTAAAAAATGATACCACACCGAAGTATATAAAAGCCTCGCGAGGAGACTCGAGATCCGCGTTCTTCGAGCAGTAGGAATAAAAAATTTTTTTCTTGATTTTCATGAAAATTCGTGTTGTTTTTGACATGTCACTTAACACTTCTCCCCTAGTGATATTTATCAGTTGTGCTGTATTGCCTCTACACATTACATGTCAAACTGACGCACCGAACGATTTCAGATTCAATCGAGGATATGCTTCTTCATATCAGTATCAATATCAATGGTAACAATAAGTGTTTATTATATGTACATATAACTTTAATTTGATTGAAAAAAAAAAGTTATCTTTCAACAGCTCACGTTGGTGTTCTCCGATTACTTTATCGTATCAAACTCGTGATCTTTAAAACCTCACAAAACTTGCTTGTATGTGGATGAATGTATACGTTCTACTCGAGTCTTTGATCGATGTCAATTGACGCGCTATGTTTTTACGAGTGCCACGTGATATTCAGCAACAATAAATTCATTCGGTTTAAATTCTGATGTGACGACAACTGTTCGTGTTAAAAATTATCAGTGTAAATTTTAAATGCACTTTGAAAGAGTCTCAGCTTCGACTCATTTTTTTATTAGTAGTTTTTTTTTTTTTTTTTTTTTTTTTTTTGCCATTTGAATCGTTTTGTGTGAAATTAACTGGTTTTGTGAGTGAAACGTTGTGAAAAAAAAAAAAAAAAAAAAAAAAAAACACGTGATTAATACAAAAGTGATATAACAAAAAGCTGCGTGAGGCGATCTCCGCGTCTAGTTTTCGAATAATTATGTCTTGTTTCGCTTATTACAACAAGGAACATGGTTGATACTATTATTGTTGTTAGGATGTTGTTGCACGGCTCCCAACAGTGTTTGCCGTGATTGGTATGCGTCATCTTTAAGAGAATTAAATGTTCAATAACAATTTTTTGATATCTGTTTCGCGTAAACATCACGAAATAAGATAATTTTTTTTTTGTTTTTACTATTTACCCAGTGATATTAGAATGATTTGGAAATGTTTACTTTAAAAAAAAAAAAAAAAACAAATTTCATACGTTAAATGAAAAGCCAGTATTTTTTTGACGGATAAATGTTTAATCATAAATAATTCTGTAACAATACTGTGTGTCAGGAATGTGTTTTTTAAAGTATCAAATTCTAAAAAATCGGAAAATTTTATAAAAAAAATATAAAATAAGAAGGTGACTCACCAGACGTTTTGAATTTTTCTTTACATTTAGTTATTTCTTTTTTTTAACCAAAATAATGGCCCATTTTTTTTTATTCGGTAGGTACCATGCTGTGACAGATAATCCTAGAAAGAGATATCAAGAAAGGCCATTAGCTCGAAAAACTACGAATTTTTCTCCTTTACCCAAAAACCCAATAGTACCAAATCCTGCATTTGAATCGACATCGACAAACAACTTAACTGCAGCAATACTCGAAATATCGATCATAGACGACACGGCCTCTAGTTGCTGTGCCATAGCCGGTTGTCCACTACGTGGTACGCAAAATTATTGGATAGAAAAAATAACGTGCCACTGTGCCAAAGATGGATTTTGCGATTGGTCGGGTGTGGCTGCAAGTATATTAGCCGCCATGCGCTGCAAGCCGGACGAAGCGTTTATTCATGGCGCATGTCGGCAAAAGGATTGAACGAACATGTATATTTGTACGTATTTTTTTTATTCGTCTTTCAAGACTTTACGTTGTAAAAGCATGTGTATGCAATGTACCAAAAAAATGAATGGATAGTAAATCAACTTTGTGTTCTTTTAATTGTTTTATTAAAAATAGAGTAGAAACTGTGAATACGGAAGAAATGTGGTCAATAACATTTGATTTGGTGCAACTAAACACAAACAAACAGCTAACATGTACATTTTTTGGTACCAAAGTATGGAATAAAAATTTTTTTTCATCACCACAGAAAATTTTTTTCTTTATATTTAAATCTAGTTGGATTATGATCTGAAATATATATAGGTGTGTGTCAGGAAATAAAATTCCGCTAATACTTAAAAGAATGGACATGTGAATGGAAGTTTCTTTATAATATACTTTTTGTATATCTTGATCAAAAAATAAAAAATCGCTCTTCTTGATTTCAAAGTTTTTCTTCAAAACGAAATAAAAATGATACATTCTTCAATAAAGGATTTTAATAATAAGCACACAATTTTTTATTTTATTTTTATCATACCAAAATGGAAAATTAAAATGAAAAGCTCTGCGTTCCTAGTAAGTACTCCCCAATTAATCTTCCGTAAAGCANTTTTATCAGCTCTGCGCAATAAAAAATTCCATAAAAAAATACTGCATCACTTAATTAAAGTCGTATATATATTTTTTTTTTTTTTTTACAAAATATAACCAGTTTTACTTAAACAATGTATAAAATGTATCGTGGAACAAGGTGAAAAATAATAAAAATTGACCGATCGTAAGGAGATGAGAAAAATCAAAGTTTGCTGCTAGCTTTTCCCTTCCCATTGGCTAACTTGTTGAGGAGTACGTGAGCCTCTTCGTAAAAGGGCGATGTTTCGCTAACGACACGGTCATACCAGGACGACAGCTTGGGTCTACCCTCGAGCGGATCGAAGCCAGCCATTCCTGCAAATTAAGTTTCGGTTGAAATGAGTGCACGATCTGCACGTGTGGTGATTAAAAAAAAAAACAAAAACAAAAAAAAAAACACATTTAGGACTCACTTGGCTGCTCGATTTCGCAGGCTCCCAAGAGATCGGCGATACTTATTTGTTGGCCCGTCAGGAAGAGCTTATTGTCATTGAGCCAAACGTTTTCTATTTGGTCTAGACACTCCACCATTCGGCTTTCGTGAATCGATACTTTTTCTGGTTTCGGAGGTTTTCCTTTCAACATAGGATATAGGAACTACGGCGATGTCGTTGGTATATATAATTTTGTCGATGCGGTCAATGAAGATTTAAAAAAAATAAATAAATAAAAAACACATAAAGGCGTTTACCTTGACCAAAAAGTATGATGCATTGTGGAGTCTCGTGTTGAGGTGCTGCCACTCGAGGTATTCGTCGACTCTGGCGCGTGCCTTGGAATCTTTCGGGTACCAGTGATCGTCGACTTTGAACTCACGGCACAAATATCGCATTATTGCCACGCTGAAAGCCCAAAAATACGTTATTTAAGACTATTGGACAGTCATGACACGTAAATACGTAACTCGGCAATTTTTATTTTTGATTAGAAAAAAAATTTACCACCCATAAGGTGCCATATTTATAATTTTAATGAATCTAACTACCCATATTACTCTGTTGGTTCACAATATTGGAAAGTTTCCAATTGAAAATAATTCAAAATTTATTAAATGTTGGTTACAAATTAAAAATTCGATGGGCATGGTTTGATTTTATTTTCAATTAAAACTACGAGTAATTAATTTGTCGTTAAATTATAAATGTAATGATTTGCAGCTTCATTCTTCTGCGTGAATTAATTTTTAATTAAAATTTTTTTTATAATAACCAAGCATATTAATTAAATCGATTCGTAATTGCATTAATTAATTTTCTTTACAAATGTCGCGTCGCTAAACTACTTTATAAAGACATTTGATTATGATCGAAGTCTTTATTTGAAGTTGAATTTTTAATTACCAAACTACAAAAATCAAAAGATAAAGATAGCAGTACTAACCTCTCGGTCAAATTAAATCCGTTGTGTTCGATAGCAGGAACTTTCCTGAACGGATTGATTTTCTCATATCCCTCCTTAAACTGCTCGCCTTTGGCCACATTAACTATTTTCGCTTCGAAGGGTATATTGCACTTCTTTAAAAAAATGTACACGGCTCTCGAGGGCTGAGAGAGTAGATCGTAATAAAGCTTCACGCTCATTTTTGTTTGATTATTTTGGTCTACACAAAACAAATTCAGTTTTTTTTAAGTTTATTAAATTTTATATCAAGATTTTTTAAATTTACTGGTCACTTTGCCCGGAAACTGCCATTAATAAAACATGGCTTGTCCGCACTACTAATGGAAGATAATATTTGTCATACTCTATTTGTATCTTCTCTAGCTTACATCAACAGTCACTCAAGATAATAAATGATCGGTTTTTTGTTGCATACTTATTCACATAAATTGATTTTAATTATTTTTACAGGCAATATAACATTAAAACGTAAAAAAATTTTCCCTTAAATACGGTTTTTATAAAGTTAACACGACCTCAATCGATTCGTTTTTTTTTTTTTTTTTTTTTTGTTCCATAAACTATAAAATTTGGGATTCCCCTGTCGTTGGTAAAAATGAAATACTTAATAAATAGTTTAAAATTATAAAAACCTAAAGAAACAGCAAAAAAAATAGCTTACTTTGTAAGTTCTTACAAGATACTGAGATCATAAGGTACTTTGAAAGACGTTTACCTCGTGTAGGAGTAAGTGATGTTGCTGCACTGAGACGACTGTATATAGGTAGTCGCGTTAGATACGCTCATGTATATGCTCGCTTATGTAAAAGATAAAACGAGCTGCACATACACTCCAATGGAACGAGTTTGTTAATAATCGAGAAGAATGAATTGCGTTTTTTCTCAAAAAAAAATTTGTGATACACACGCTGTAGCTTTAGTTTAATGAGAAGACTTGGAATTTTTTTAGAAAAAAAAAATTTATTTTAAATATAATTGAAGCTATGGACAATTTTAATCTACAAATGAAGATTATTACTCCATTCTTAACCCACTAATTTTTATTGCAGTAATTAAAATTATTGTACTTTAACTAGGAGTAATTATAGTTTTCGCATACTTTACACTAACAGCATTAGTTAAAAGTTAATTTCAGTTCGAAGCAGAGGCTCAGTGTTATTGAATGATCGTGAAACTCCTGGTTCGAAACCAAGTTGAAATTTGTACAAAAGTAGAAAAACTATATACACTCTTCACACGCAAATCAATTTGTGTTTTTTTTAGTTTATAATAATGCGTTCTGCTCTGCAAAACTTGATGAAAATTAATTACGCATAAGCATTGCGTGAACTAAATACGCACTCAAATACATTAAACATTTAACTTTGCACAAAGTTCGAGTACTGTAAAATTAATTCTTTTTACAACGGAAAAGTTCAAAAAAATAAACTTACATTTACACGACATTGTATTTCAAGTGCTTTACACTGCTTGAGATGTAAAACTATAATGCCAAGGGATACACTATTATACCTTGCCTCGTTACATTTTTTATAAAATAATATATATGTATATATTCATCTTTATATCTCAAGAGTCATACGTTTTTCTCTTCTTTTTATATTCTAACAACTATAATGAAACTTCATTTCACTGCTTTCGTCTTTTTCGCGATGTAGGACTCGAAAGTTCCATGTCTTCTAAGAATTTGGGTTTTCTCAATGTTCTTGGAGTTCTCCTGAGGGATACTGTACCATCTTCAGAAGATACACTTGGTGATTTTACATCTGCTTTCTGTGAATTCGCATCGCCCCTTCGTAAACTTCTCCGTCTCGTTGGGGTTGCAGTTCCTTCCGACGTATTGGTATCAGAGGACGACGGATCACTTACTTCTTCATTTCTCCTGGTCCTTCTCGAGCTCATTTGTCTCTGTGGGGGTGTAGAGTTGCTTTCAGAAGACGACTGTTTATCTACTATCTTGTCCACCTCTTTTGCTGCAACATTTTTTTGCACGTTCCTTCGCCTCGTTGGAGTTGTAGCTTCCTTTGAGGCATTGCTTTCAGAAGATGATCTTCTTTCAACTCCCCTACTTTTTTGCTTTGGCGACACTGTAACATTCCTTTTTGTGTTTCTCTGTTGTTTTGGAGATGGAGTGTCCTTTGAAGTACTCTGCACAAAGAAATAATTGACCATTACTGAATACATTTCCACATAGCTTTCTACAGGATGGAACTCAAAGTATGAAAAATTGTTCGGTTTGAGTGGGCCAAACAATATTAAATCAGAGCTCGATTTTGGTGTCTCTATTTTGCTACTCCTACTACTCATATAACACAATATGCTAATGATGCAATTATTACGGCAAATAAATGTAACTCGAAACTTAAGTTAAATGGTTCGTGATAAATAAGCTAACTGTAAACGTATCGAATAATATGGGTATGACCTTTATCTATTATTTGTATGAAGGGTCTGAAAATAAAACTATTCATGCAAATAACTAACTTGAATGTGACACTCTAATATTCTGTTTTAATTAGTTGAAAACCATTGATTTCTACAGTTATAATTGTTATCTTTCTTTAATTTTCAGTTTCTAAGAGATTATGCTGAACCATCCGTTCATCGTTTTGCAATTATGTAGCAATCCGCGAAATGGACTATGATAAATTCTCGTTCAAATATATTAATAAATAAAAAGATAATAGATATTAATAGACAATATATTAATTAATAAATAAACAAATAGATAATAATAAATAAAAAGAAAGAAAGACATAAATAATTACTACGGATTGCTTTATCAAAAAGTACAAGTACAATTTTAATAAAAAGTTATAATTACATTAGAGATCGTTCTGAAATATAACGATTAACTTTTCGCTTCTTTATGTACCTGTAATGGTTTTGAAGCGTTTCTAAGTGAAATCCTTTGACGTTTTGGAGTTGAGGCTCCGCTAGATACATTGTTATCAGAAGATAATTGGTTGTCTGTTTCGTTGTCCACCTGATTTGCATTATTTGAAGCATCCTTATGTAAGGTCTTTTGACGCTTCGGAGTTGAACCGTCGTCTGAAGCTTTATTATCGGATGACTGATTGTCCGATTCCTCGTCTACCTGATCCAACTGTCTTGAAACGTTTTGTTTCGAGCTTTTTTGTTGTTGTTTTAATGGTATGTCGTTTGTTTTGCTTTTAACATTGGGTGACTTTTCGATTTTTCTTTTTTTCGATTCTAGAGTCTGTGGCTGTTTCACTGGGGTTGGTGGCAAAATCAACTCTCCAAGGCTGTAAATCAACAGAGTTAATTTAATAAAATGTATTTATAAGAAAATTTCGATTAGATATCATTTTAATTGTACACTACTTCAAAACAGATAAATTACCTGAAGTTCATGCTGGGTTCCATTGGATTTCCCTGGTTGTCGTTTTCATCATTTTCTGCGTCTTGATTTTCTTTTTCCTCTTCACCGTTTTGCCGGTTAGGTCTGATATTTTCAATTTCTTCGTGCCTGTTAATATTTACAGGGCAAGTAGATGGGATTGCCCGAGTTGTTTCAGAATTTCTACTGTCGTTTGTTCCATTGATAGAATTAGAGTTCCCAGCAGGATTTGGTTGTGATAAAAATCTAGATGGATTGTGATTCGTCTCTTTTGGTTGTTCGACGATTCCTACCTTCACGTTGAACTGAGCTATATCCAAAGCTGCACAGTGGCTACAGTTATTGATTTTGTAGATGCCTACGAGATAGTCAGCGAGTTCGAACATATCTGATCTGTGAGAAATAACGATGAACTGAGCGTTTTTCGTTCTGTCCTTGATGTAACTGGCCACAATAGATACATTTTTAAAATCCAGAGCAGCATCAATTTCGTCCATGAAGTAAAAAGGTGTGGGCTTGTAATGATGCAGGGCAAACACTAAAGCCAGAGAACTGAGAGTTTTCTCACCACCACTCAAGTTCTGGATTTGTTTCCAGGACTTTTTCGGAGGCCGCACGCTAAACACGATACCTTCGCTAAACGGATCCAGCGAATCGACCAATTCGAGTTCGGCGTCACCACCAAGTGTGATCATTCGATACATTTCCTTCAGTTTGCCAGTAATCATGTTAAATCCGTCGTTAAACTCCTCCATTCTTCTGCGTATCGCCAAGTTGTAAGAGTCTCGCATGCTATTTCGTTCCTCAGTAATTTTCTGTAGTTTCTCGAACCTTTTTAGATACAAATTGTTTTGCTCTCTGAACTGCTCGATAATCTGCATATTTGGTATCTCTTGCGGCAGCTTTTCTTTAGCTTTTTGGAGTTGAGCTAAAACTACCTTGTCATCCAATTCTTCCAGTTCTTCAGTCGTTAATTCCGTTAAAGGTTCTTTCTCTTCGTTGGGTATGTCTTGAAGGTTCAGAGTTTGTATGGCCTTAGTCAAATCAGGAATCCGATGTTGGAGATCTTTCAGTATTTTGTTCTTCTCATTTAACTTTTGGTCCAAATCAATCTTCAAAGCCTTCATTTTGCTCTCTCGCGACTGCAACTTTTCCAATTCAGATTTTAGTTTCCCTGCTAGCTCTTGCCTCTCAGTGAGACTTTCATCCAGTTGCTCCATTTCTTCAATCATGCCCTGATAGACGCTCTCTATTTCTTTCTTTTCTTTTGTGATATCGTATATCCGTTTTTCGCAGTTTTTGATATCAGTCTCGAGAGTTTCGATTCGTTGCTCCGTTTTCTTCGCGTTTCTTTCTGCGGTTTTAATGGCAACTTGCAATCTGCAAACTTCTCCCTTTGCTTTGTCAATGTTTTTATTCAGAGTATTGATTTTCTTTTGTTGCTCTTTTACTCGGTTGCCGGATATTTCATCGATTTCGTGATTTATTCGAGCAACTTCGTTTTCCGTCTCTTTGGAAGTCTCCGAGACACTATTGAGCTTTTGCTCAGCGTCTTCGACAACTTTTGACAGTTGTCGAACCTGGAGGAATAAAAATGATAACCCATGTACGCGTATTTCAATATTATTATAAAAAAAACATATGTATTAAAAAAAAAAAATTGAATTATACCTTTCCGGGATCACAGATAGACAACTTAGCCTTTTTCTCTTGCTCTTGCAGCTGTTTTTTCAAATTCGGCTCTTCAACGGTCAATTGGTTTATGTCGATTTTGTACTTGTCTCTGTCGACGATCATATCCTTGAGTGCTGTGCTCAGAGTATATATCTGATTTTCTAATGGAGGTTGTTTGGCTTTGACCTGATTATACTCTTCAAAGACTTGGTCGAGTTCTTCCTGCAGTTTCGAGATATCTTCCGCCGTAGGTTCACTACGTGCTGCCTTTTGACCCATACGACCTCTCGACACTTGTCGGCCACCACCACTCATAGTACCCGACAGCTCGATTAATTCGCCCTTAAGTGTCACAACGCGATAACGCGTGGCACCATAAGCTATACGGGTCGCTTGGTCCAGATCATTGGCTACTAATGTATTTTGTAAGGCGTAGTAAAAGGCAGGAAGGATATCTGGATTCTCCACTTTAATAAGATCAAACAGCCGATGTACGTTCTCCGGGGTACGTATCCTCTCCTGGCATTGACGAGCAAAACGTTGTTGCTTCTCCAGAGCAATGAAAGTGGCTCGACCGAGGTTGTTGCGTCGCAAAAATTCAATACACTCGGTTGCCGTGTTCACGGAATCGACGACGATATTATCTAGAGGACCACAAGCCGTGGACACGGCTACATCGTACTTTGGATCAATACCACCCAAGTCACCCTGAAATTTGCGTTGTCTTTTACTCCTTTCAAATACAATTGCTTACAAAATTTCAAAATAAATGACTTACCAGTCTACCGTAAATACCAGGAAGCCGACTTTCCCTCTTTTCGCGCATAAGAGCGTTAAGTATATGATTTCTGGATGTTCCTGCTTGCATAGCAGACTTCTGCTCGTCGTACTTCATACGTTTATTCCTCAGATGCATGTTTGCCTCATTTTCACGATTTTTAAGGTCCTCCAGTTCTCGTTGAGCTTGTTGCAAGCTTTTCTCCGTAGCTGGGATTTTAGGTTCTATTGCTGCAATCTTCTTTTTGGTCTCAGACAGCCTATCACTAGTTATTTTTACAGATTCTTTTAACCGTTCAAGCTTATCTTTTTCTGTCTGTTCTTCAGATTGGTACAGATCGAGCTTTGACTTGGCAATGTCGAATACTGATTTAGCATCATCAACGGCTTTTCGCTGGGTGACCAACTCTTTTTCCAATTTCGCACGTTTTTTAATCAATGGTTCAGTCTTTTCTTTCAATCCACTCATTAAATTTGCTAGAGCAGCTTCTTCCGCTTCACGTTCAGTGATTTGTTTTTTCTGTAGTTTTTCACACTCCTCTATATCTTTAACATTTTTTGCCGGTATCCTTTGAATTTCTTCTAGTTTGGTTTTTTCCTAGTAAATTAAAGAAAATAAAAAATGTTTGAAATACTAATACTCTAATCAAGGCTAGTCAAGAACAAGAAATAACAATTATCTTACCTTTTTAACGGTTTCTTTGTTTTCTTTCCGTCGTTTGTTGGTTGCCTCTGCTTCAGCTTGAAGGGCATTATCTTTTTTCCTCATTTCATCTGTTTTAACCGTTAGCGCATCTTTCTGTTGCTGTAGTTTATCCCACTTTTTAGATTTCTCTTTAAAATCTTTCGTTTTTTCATCTCTTTCTTTCTGTACGGATTTCATTTCATCCATAAGCTTATTGTAATCTTCATCCAACTCTTTTTTCACTTCTTCTTCTTTTTTTAATCGATCTAAAGCTTCATATCTATATAAAGAGAACAAAAATTACTCAAATTTCTATAAATTATCTATATTATCAAATAGATTAAATAAAATTGCGATGTCAATACCTTTTACATTGATAATATGTGTGTTGCAGTTTTATAATAGAGTTTTCTGATTTTAAATATTGTATAGCTTCTTGCATAGGCTTTTCCAATTCTGCTTTGGCCTTCTCTACTACCTTGAGACGTCTTAGTTTTTCTTCGCGCTCTTCTGACAAACCTTCTACTTTGTCAGATAACTTTTTAAGAGGTTCTTTGTATCGAGTAGTACCAATAATATCTTCTAAAAACTCCAACATACCAGTATCACCATCACCCTGGCCTTTGGGTTTCATTAGAGCTATTTGTTCTACTTCTCCCTATGAAAATAACAGAAAAAAAAGTTATTAAAAAGTTACAACGGATAATAAGAAATTTCATGCAGAAATTTATGTTTACTTGAAGAATTAAGAATCTATTATGATCTAAGTCCACACAATGATCCCGCAAACGTTTTGTTATTTCCTTAAATTGCACTTTTCGACCATCAAGTTCATAATATGCTGAACTATCCTTGAAAGCCGTCCTCGAAATAACAAAGGCACTATTTGGAACAATATCATAATCATGACCAACCTGAAAAAATAAAAATAATTTAACTAAGACAATTCTCTCAAGCCAGTTCAAATCTAAGCAAAACAAATACCTTGTCAATGATTTGTTGAAAGTGGACCGAAACTGTGCAGCTACTACAGTTGGGATGTTCATTCGAACTGTGTATCAATTCTGCAACTTTCTTCGTTCTAATTTTATTAGCTCTGTAGCCAAATACAAAGAGCATTGAGTCAATGGCATTACTCTTACCATTTCCGTTAGGGCCAACAATGGACGAAAAACACTACAAAAAAAAAAAAAAAAGACAACAGGGAATGAAATGACTGGGCATTGCAAGAACCTTTACCAAACAATAGAATATGAGTCATACCTTGTGAAAAGGTCCAATTACTACAGAACCAGCATAACTCTTGAAATTCTTAGCGACTATTTTCACAATCATCAATCTCGGCCCTGTAGCGTCATACTCACCAAATGCTTGGGGTGCTGGAGGAATAAATATGTCTTCTGACACTTGCCATCCTACCGTGTACGGAACATCATCTGGTTCATTTTGAGCTTCCATATTCTGTTGCCGTGGGGAGTCATCGTCAGTAGGAGCAGCATCAGCAGGAGTATCAAAAGAATCGGCAGAAGAAGGATTAGCAACAGGAGGAGGAAAAGGATCAACATCCATATCCTCCTCTGAGGATTTGCTGTTTACCTGGTTCTCAGAAGACATCTCTCACTGAAATTGATTTTTTAAAAGATGAGTATTCAAAATCATATACTGTTGCATCAGTACACTACAGGGAATAAGCACTCCACCATAAAAAAACAGGTAAATAATCATAAAGGTAAGAGAGGTTAACACTTTTGACACTTTGGTGTGCTTTTCACTGAATAACGAAGTTAACACTAAAAAATCTCAAATTGCTGAGTAAAGCAGACAACAACAGTTAAGAACAGGAAGTAACGAATGCAAAAAATTACCGTCAACTTAAAAAACACTATATAAAACAACAATAATACATGCTGCTTGTTAATCCAAAGCTTATACCAACAGAAATGGCGGGCAAAGCGACGCGCGGGTTGAAACGAAACATTTGAAAGTTTCAACCGATATTTTTTTAGAGTACTTTTCATCATCAGGGAAAAATCAAATGGCGGACGCACAATCGCCCAGTTAAGTTTTGAATTATCTTACCGAGTATCGATATTAAAATTGTTTTTCACTTATTAACGTGGGCTAATTTTTCAGCAGAAAATATTTTTTATTTTAAAACACTGATTGAACTCGTCATTTTGTGTGAAAAACCGTTAATAAAATTATTGACAAACTGGCATTTTTTGAGATATAGTCACGTGACTTGACTAAGAATATGCGCGCGCACATGTTTGATTATCGAAAATATCGAAATGTTGATTGTCGATATATCGATCTTTGGCGGGAAGTTTTTGAACCGTAAAACTTACAATTCTTTTTGAGTCAACGACAAAAGTCCTCTCTTTGACAAATGTCCCCCTGACTCACTGCTTCTACTCAAATAACATGGCGTTGACTTTTTTCTCCAAAATGCGGTTGATCGAGTAGCATTCTAAATTACTCTATTTCATTATAAAACATACTATTACATAACATCATGGAAAATCGATTCAATACATCTAGAAAGAAGTGCAGATTTCTTTTAGATGTGAAAAAAACTTAGGATTATAGAATTGGAAGGTTATTGGCTTTCTTTGAAATTTTTATGATTGACTATTATTTATAATAAGTATTGCTTTATAAAAGGTGTGACAACTTTTCTAGCTTGTGGAGGTAGGAATTAAAAACGCGATATGATATATTCATGAGGGAAGAAGGAAGGACTTGCTCGTAATGTAAAGGAAAAAAAAGTGCTATTTTAATGTACTTAGTAGGTATGTAGGGCGTAAATAAATATATATTCATATTTGTACATCATATAATATATGCGCTGACTCAATGACGCCGATGATGATGTATCGTCCATCCGTGGTTGCGGAGGAGGTAGTTGGTGGTAGCTACTGCGCGCTGTGTGTAGTGTATACACACCACTGGCAGACAGCATATTAGAAGCAGTGTACTGCGAGAAAAATGGCTGACTGCGAGAAAGAGGAGGCTCACAATCTCGTAAGCAATTTGCCTTTAACCATCAGCTGCTACCTATATGCTTTTATCTAATCGCCGTCTCGAGACACACAAACTCTACACTTTACTATACTTGGTCGTCTCCCTTCTCCTGCTTCGCCACCACCTCTAACCGATACCTACAACACACAACTTTGAGAGATAACCGGTCCTAGCCGATATTTATGTACATACAACGACTCATTAATTATCATCATCAGCGTGTCATCGATCATTACCCATCATCACTATCTCTACCATATCACCACCGTTACTTGCCATCAACAATCATCAGCTGTTTGTATTTTCTACTGCTCTGTGCAATCGTTTACATTGCATACTTAACTATGATCTTTTGTTGTTATCATCACAAATGAAATTAATATACTGATCAGAAATGAACGAGGTTAGGTTTCATTTTCAGCTTATTCCTCTTTCAACACTATTTTCTCTTTTGATAACTTATACACATTAATGATAGTTGTAGCTCATAGCTCCAAAAAGCTTCAGTCCCTTTTGTTTTGTCATTGCATGCAGTGTGTATGTATAGGTATATATCCGTTTGCTTTTGTTTTGTTTTTTCTGTCCACGCGCTTCTGCTTTATTTCTGACAGGTGTGTATACACAAACAATATGCTCTATCACATATTTATATACTTAATTGAGCGTTTTTTCCTCCCTCCACAATTTTCAGCAAATGGAATTCGAATGGGTGCTACACGAAGAGGTCCATTCGTCGCTGTCGCAGCTTCGTAATATTTTGATGGTGAGTGTATTTCAGAGTTTCATAAACACTCCTGCAAATCCAAAAGTGAAAAAAATTTTTTATAAGTAGCAGACAAGTTTTAATTTTTGTCGAAGCGCGTCTTTTTGATTCGTCACATTCTCTTGCTTCAATAATATACATTGCGTTTAAATAAGAGGGTAGAAAGAATAATTTGGATAACCATTAAGTAATCACTATTATTTTTTTTTACACCTTCTACAAACCATAGGAGTGTGCGCAGCGATTTCCGTTAACGCTGTTTGGGAATGATCAGCAGAACAAAACTGACAGATTTGTTTTTGCGGCACCTCATGATCAGGTCAAGTGTGTTGTAGTTCTCACTGGTGACAGTATTACTAATGCCGTAAGTGCTTAACTTGATTCATATTTTTTAATATGACCTCTCTGATTAATTTATTCGTTGCGATTTGAATATTTTTTCAGGAGGTGAATTTTAAAGTTCAGCGTCAACAGAACGTGAACATGAGAACGAGCATACAAAACGATCATCCCTGGAAACTGCAACAAATTCAGGATGCTGCCAATCATTTACAACAAGCAATTGCTCATATCGACAATGTCGACCGACATTACTCCTTTAAGACTTCGGACGAAGTAATGCACGTTTTGGGCAATATTTTAGGATGCCTTCAGCGTAGCAGGACAAGTTTAATTGTGCCGAGGAAAAAAAATTTGGATGATCTCATTAAAAGTCGCAACATGGTGCGAAAACGGATTTTGAATCATTTTTTCATTGATTGCAATGTATCTGAAAAAATAATGTTTCACTTCATTCTTTCAGAAATCGCTAAATCCAAATTTACCCGAAAATTTAGCCATTAGTTTTTATATTCAGAGCTACAAGCTGGTACTTGCGGTTTATCAATTGGAAAATGCCCATGGGAGCGTTAAATACGAAACTCAGCAGGCTGAGTGTAGCGTTCCTTGGCTCAACGAAGCACTGGTGCTACTCACTATTGCGCTTCAACTCTGCCAAAGATTAAAAGATAAGGTAAACTATAAAGTTACCGCATTTTTTTTATGAAAACGAAACTGCAAATTATTTTTTAAATATTTGTTTTGCTTGCAGATATGCGTGTTTTCTCAGTATAAAGATTTTACAGTAGGATCCCGTATTCCTTCGGTTTTGGCATTACAAGAAAAAGACGTCCAATAAATGCTACGTAGTCGATAATTTTGCACTGTGACAAGCAAAAAAACAAAAAAAATTATTAAGTAAGGTGCACTTCGCCAACTACGTGCCTAGTTTCACCGTTTATTTTAATTTTTTTTTATTAATCATGAAAAAAAAAAAATGCAATTTCATGGATGTACTACTGACCAAGTCCCAGATGAAACTTTGAACAAAATGTATGTAAGTAGTTTGTGTAAAATCTGTATGAACTTGAGCATGTGTGCATTCACACATTGTATATTCGTACCAGTGACTTAGTATTGCTTCAGCGGATTGGAGCCAGTACTATACAAACCTATGGGTACATAAATTCGCAATTTTCGATCTCCCAAAAGAGGTCATTGTTAAATTATTATATTGTTACAGCCATGTTAGGCAAGCGTTTAATTACCAAGTAATTTATTAGAAAAGTGTTAAATAAAATGTTTAAATATGTGTAGAAGCGTCAATTATCTGATTTTTAGTAATAGTGTGTGGAAAATACTTTCACGCACTATTACGAAAAATCATGTACGCAACTAGTGCGGGACGATTCTAACACTCGTGTGACATCACACCCACGGCCGATGCGATGGCAACGCACTTGTGCGATCAACTGGCACTCGTTCCTGGTAACTCGCGTCTACCACTACTCGTGTGGAAAATCGTCTTTTTCGCACATGTTACGTAAATAACTATTACTTGGTCGTTTTTATAATAATTTTAAAAATCTCTTAGAATTTTCGATATGACATTTTTTTCTAATCATGATCTGAGAGACTAATTATTTTAATTAATGAAATTGATAAAATAATTGCTGCATAATTCTATAAGTCCACGTACTAATTGAATATTTAAACATACTATTTCGTGACTACCTTTGCAATCGTACCTAAAAACTAAAAACAATTTCAGAAAACTACTCTTTACGAATTAATGAAAAGTACTTATCGAACATGACCTCATGCACTGCTTGAATTTTGATTGTATTTCATTTTAGTAGACGGTTATTATGGTAGTAAAAATAGAGTTTTATCATAATTGAATGTATATTGTAAATAGAATTGTCATCTGCCATACTGTTGATCTTGAGTCTTACTTTAAATAAGTTTCTAAAATATCTTATACTTATATCAGTGTTATGTTATACGTTTTTATAAAAAAATACTTGAACTTGTCTTTACACTAGGATAGATACAATAAAAGTTTTAAAATATATCTCATAGGAAATTTAAATTCGCATTTATGCAAAGAAAACAATTATCTTTATGGTGCCCATTATCACACGCAAATGTATCACTCGACAAAATGATGCAAAAGTTCAATCGTTGCATGTTAATTAATAAACTATAACTGCCGTGGTTAGTATGTATATGAACTAAATGCTTTTATCTCTTCACCTAAAATTTAGCTTGTTTAAAAAAAAAAAAAAATGCAATATATCACATTTGTAACAATTGGTGCATATACGCGTGCCTATTAACTTATGAATAGATTGTTTGTTTTAATTTTTTCGTTCATCCACGATTTTACAGAAAATATAGATCGTATGTATACTTGGCCTCGTTAAAGGAGGAACAATATACAAAAGAATTGATGGCAACAGAAGATATGCAAGTGTTGTAAATAATGATAATACTTGGAGAAAAATGAGGTTTTCTGAGCTGTGCATTGTAAAACGTACGACAATAATTATAATAATAATAATAATATTAATATATGGTAATATTGTGAGTCGACGTGTATTAAAGTGCTTGGGGCCGTTGTACTCCCGCAGCTTTCTTGTTTTCCCTGTTATTCGAAATAAATTCCACTATGTGTAATAAATTTCTCATTACGAATTATGTGTGTTATCTTGTTTACTCGCCAATTTTTTTTTTTTTTTTTTTTTTTCATTTATAGGTATACCCTTTATCGTCAAGTTTACCGTAATATTTGCGTGCGATAGTGAGCGTCTCTTCAGTGTTATACTTTGGCCAATAATTCATATGGATGGAAGCTCGAGCTCGGCTGTAAAGAAGACTGGAGCCTAAATAAGCAACCATACTCCGTGGCGGTATCTGCGAAAATTTTGACACAACGTTATCACTATAATTACCATCGCAACGATAAACCTCAGCACGCACCTTCAACTTTGAGACGAAGCCACGCCGAATCAAGAGCTCGAACACAAGCGCACCCAAGTAGGAAAGCGCAAAGGGCACCGAGAAATTGGACACTTTCACGCGATTGCCACCCGATCTTGTAACTCTCTCGCAGAAACGCGCCAAATTCTCGACGAGCGTGTCGTCGGTCACGTTGACCGGTAAACCAGCGATAGCCTTTGGATTTTTTTTCAAAGTGTCATGCGCCCTTATAAAAGCCCACGCCGCGTTCCCTGAAACAACAAGGTTCATATACTTGTTCTTGTTTTTTTTGTTTGTACCAGCGTAGTACACGCTTACCTACGTAAGTCATCTGTTGCTTGCCGGCCAGCCCGCAAAGCCTCGGCAGGTCCCGATGTTTGGCGAACCGCAGAATCTCTGGAAGCAGATGCGGGTCGCCCTCCCCGTAGAGCAGCGTTGGCCTCAAGGCAGTCGTAAGCAGTACCCCACCTATATATATATAATATTTATTATTTATAAGTCGCGCTCTGTCTCATCCGCACCGATGCACCTACCGTCGCTGAGCGGCGTGTTATTGGCTTTCAAAACGATCCTCTCCGCCCTGAGCTTCGACGCCGCGTACTCCCCGAACATCAATCTCGCACCGTCCTCCGGAGCTTCCAGCTTCGACTCCGTTTTGTAGATCACAGACGCGGTCACGCCGAATCTAGATGCCGGCTGGAGCGTCACTTCGGTCGTGCTGCAGTGCACCAGAAGCCTCGCCCTCTCCTGGACGCACAGCCTCACCACGTTTTCGCTCGCTGCCCATCGTGCAAAACCAACCATCAACAACTATATAAAAAAAACAAATCGCGGCATTTCGATCGCGCTCTCACCGTCTACGTTGTTTCTCCGGAGGCTGTCGACGTCCGGGGGATACCGGTAATCCACGAGCCCGGCGCAGTGCATCACCACGTCCGCGCCGCGAAATGCCTCGCGGCAGGCCTCCGCGTCCAACAGGTCGCACCGGTAGAGCCTCAGTTTTTCCGTCTCCTCGCAGTCCTCGATCTCCGCCTTGTCCAGTGCTCTCACTTCGGCGACGCCCTCCTGCTCCAGGAGGTGTTTCAGTACGTGGCGGCCCAGGAAACCACTGGCACCTGCACATATAATACGTATGGTGTACGATTTATATTTCACTTACATCAAAAAAACCACGTGTCCTATTCGTACCGGTCAGTAGTACGATTTCACCCGGTCTCTGGTCCATGTCGACGCACTCGAGCCCACGCGCGCACAGAGCGGCTCTCATGGCAATTTGAAACTCTTTCTCGCGTTGTTATTTGTTGTTGTTCGTGTGTTTATCGTCTCTGCAATGCAATGAAAAACCGATGACCAACTTTTACGTACAAAACGGCAGTGCTTGCATTTTTTTGCGCTCTCGTTCCGTCGTTGCGGAATACAGTGTGTGCATGCGTCAGGGTCAAAGAGAAGAGAGTACTGGAAAAATCGAAAATCGTTTTGAAAAGGAGCGTGTCTCAATCGAATGATTCAATTCTATTGTGATGAGTTTCTCCTTGTTGAGTTACAAGCCGATCGGTATATATAAACAGTGTTATGTAGGAGCTAGGAGGTATGTAGACCGATTTTTGTGTTCCATACCTTTACCGTTCGATCGTTTTGTAAATTTAAACCGTTGGTTATTTCCCGCCACGCTTTCAATGTTTTTTTGCAATTACCGTAAAAATAATAAGCGTAATATCAATACCGATTTCTTTGCCTTGGTCGGGTAATTGAAACATAATTTTTTTTTTTTTTTTTTTTCCAAGAGAGCGTTTCATATTAATGCTCGTGTGTACAACATACACTACCGGAAATATAAATATAACAAAGTTTACACACGCATACTTTACCAACATGTATGTACATCTCTCGCGTTATACACGCGTCGTGAATGAGATAATTGCCCAACCACACATGTATACGTATGTAGTATGACCCCCAATGATTGTCAACAAGTAGTTGTGAGCTGTACTATATATGGTAGGCACTTTTTTTTTTTCTCTCCCCCTCTGCTCTGCTTCTATTCCATGAGAGGTTGCACGCAAGTAAATGTGTGAAGGCTGTAAACTCTACCTACAGTTGTTCTCCCGACAACAGCTGATGTATACACAAGAAGTTGCATTTTATATAGGTAAAAATGAATGGCTATTCATGGAACAACAACTGCGTGGGCGTGACGTGCGATTTTAGGTGAACACACCTATACTGGCATATATACCGTTTCATATACAACTCTCGTTATCGTTAATTGTGCAGTTGTAAAAATCGTAATATCGAGGTATTGGGTCGATTTAGTGTATTAATTGTTATTGTTAGTTACATGTTTGGCCAGTGATCGTGTGTTGAGAGAAAAAAAAAGGTACAAAAGTAACGTGTGCATCGATGAACTAAGGAAAGAAAAAAATGTAAAAAAAGCGAGAAATCTCTTATCTGTACTAATTTTTCTCTCCCGCTATCCAAAAGTGCGACGTGTACCCTCTTCGTGTGTGCATGTGTATATATATATATATTATTATTATTAACATCATAACACTCGGAGTTCGCGCGCGTCGTCGTGCATATTGTCAAATTGCGTAATATCCTGTTGTTCTTGTTGTTGTTGTGTATACATATATTTTTGTTTTTCCTTCAAAACTACGCGCACAAGTGTACACAAAAAATTGCGTGGGTTTGTCAAATTTTCGCGAAACTGTTGTTCGCGGTAAACGAAAGTTTGAAAACATATATGATACTCGCCAAAAATAGAAGCTGATTATCAACGGATATATGATATATTTTTTTTTCTTTTCTCTTTTTTTTTTTTTTTATCACACATTGCAGATAACAAAAGTGGCAAAACGAAAACGCGCGGCGGAGGTATGCAACGCTGATCGCGGCGCACTTCTATTCGCTTGATTTACCACTGAGCTAGCACATCGCGTAAAAATACAATAAAAGGTAAAAAAANGTGAGCTATAAATTAAGTTTAGGTAATTGACCTTGAAAGCAGTAAATCAATAGCCATATGTTCAATAATTTTTTTTTGAACTTAGAAAAATTATGCAACATAGGTTTGCATTACAAAAAAACTGAATTGAAAAAAAAGCTCTCAATCATCATCGATAATAGCTAGAGCTTTCATTAAAATCGTCGCGACCAACAAATATTGGAAAACAAGGAAAGACACACCATGGCTACCCTGGACGCTGGTAAATTCAAAATCGAGAAGCGAGAGCTCCACGTCCCTTCCCTCGATGAAGTAAAAAATGGTAAAAACAACAAAAATGACTCTACGTACACGTGTGGTCGCAATCACGCTTGTAAAATTTACATATATACTTACGTATAAATATCACATTGTTGTCAATAAGTGTTCATTGACGCGCTGAGGGAGAACTTTGCCGAGGCCGAGATCGAAGTCGTCGATTGTCCCGATTTGACGCAGGAGCCGTTCACCCTGTCAGCTCCGGGTAAGTGGCCCCTTCCCCCGCATCTTCTAATGTAAAAAATACCATGCTGATGCAACTGCGTACGTAACGTTCATATATAGGTCTCGGTGGGAGAGTGAACATCCTGGAAATCGGCGGTCCCCCGTTTCTACTTCCGACGGTGCAGAGGGACAAAGTTTACGACATCCAGTCCCTGCTGAAAGACCTCAAGTACGGCGACAGGGCCTTCGTCGCGGGTGCCGGAGCCGGACCCTGGCCCTACCTCGGCACCAATTGCGAGGTAAGCAATATACATACCGATCGCACAAGCACCAACATTTTATATAATAATACGTATGTATTATTGCTTCGATCGCAGATGATGATGAACGTGATGATGGACTCGGCCAAGTTGAAGAACGGCACGCGCATCGCCTCGGTGGAGAAAAGCGAGGGGAGTTGTGTGCTTGAAACGTTGAAGGGCAACGAAACGCGATTCTCCCTGTTGGCCAATCTATTTCTCTGCGAGGGTATACCGGGAAAGGTGCTCAAGGTGCACGCGAAGCAGCGAATCGGCAACAAGGACTTCATAGCCACTATGCAGCAGGCCTTGGCAGAGCACTACCGGGACAAGCTCGTTGGTAAGCTCGGTGACATATGGCAATTTCGGGCCATTTTTTCGTGTGTCGTGTATGTATACACATATATGTACCGTGGGCTGCAGGTCTCGGAGGTACATTCGTCATGATGGAGGGCAAGGCCAAGCAGCACGTGATGCCGGATTTCTCGGAGACGCCGCTCGACAGCGTCAAGCAGCTCGACCACTGGCTCAAGTTTTACGACATGTCCGCGCCCTTGATTGCCGTCGGGACTTTCGTCTCCGCGGAAACGGTAAGCTGATAATATTTGGGTGGCATGTATAATATAATATAATTCGTACGCGTGCACCTTGAGTTAATTTTTTACGTTGATTCATCGAAAAATGTTTCTCGCCCCGTTATCGATGTAGGTGTTGGGTATATATTGATAAAGAGGAAAAAAAAGGCGAGACTCGCGAGAGATAAAAAGTTTTATCGCGGATCGATAATACACGAGAGACGGTGTGCTCCGAGTTACACAGAGAGATAAAAGTAAAGGTATGTTTCTTGCGCAGGAGCTCGATCTGCGAGTCCAGCATTTCCACAGTTTCTCCCATCATGGCGAGGGTGGGCACTACCACATCGACACTACGCCGAATGACGTCGAGTATCTAGGCTACTTCAACCTCAGCGAGGTGCTCTACAGGATCGACCAGCCGCCAAATACCCTTCAGTTCGGCAAGGATTGAATTTTTTTGTTTCATTGTACACTTATTGCGATATCACGCGCGCACTCGTCCGTGGACGTTGTTCTTTTGGTGAAAAATAATAATATTTTATATAGCGCGATTGTTGAAAAAAAAAAAGTGATAATTTAGTATACGCCCGTTTGCAATAAATACTCCAAGTGCCCATTGAGAACATGTCACTCGACCGCACCGCCGATGTTCCACAATGTTGTTCAGATTTGTACAATCGAGTTTTATGCAATAAAGCGCACTCGTTGGGAAAATAAAAATAAAAAAAAAAAGAGGGAGAGATACGGAGAAACGTTTAATTTTTGTCACCTCGCACAATTTTAACAAGTTTTTTACCGGGACATTGAAAAATCCCAAGGAGCGTCTCGTGTCCGTAAATATATAAAGTTCGAGCTCTCGCGACATGCCATTGAACACCGAGTTGACAAACTCGTACGGCAGCGTATACGTGGGCCTCGACGCCTCCGAGCGATTCAGCAACAACTTCGAGACCTACAGCGAGGGCACCAGATGGCTGGGGATACTGTTCGCCTTCCTCTCGAGCGTGTGCTTCTCCGTGAGCGCGACGCTCGTCAAGGACATCCGAGACGTCGATCCCATGATACTCCTGTCCATCCGCGGGGCCGTGCAAATCGTCGTCATGATCCTCGTCGCGCTCAAGAATTCGTTGAACCTCGTCGGGCCGAAAGATTACAAACTACTGATCCAATTGCAGGTAAACCCATCATTATTGCCAATAGGAGTAGACGAGCGAGCCTCATTATCAATAAGTTGTACACACATGTCGTTTAATAAAACATGCAATGTGTAAACACACAAAATTCAAGGGCTTCCTCGCCGGTATGATGCTATCGTTGCTCTACTACAGCTTCAGAAAGCTACCCATCGGAGACGCGACGACGATAGTCTTCAGCTCACCAGCGATCGTCATTGTACTGTCGTTCGTGTTTTTGAGCGAGCCCTGCGGAGTGCTGCGAATCATGGTCATTTGCTTGCTCACCACCGGGGTTGTTTTGGTCGCCCGACCTCCTTTCTTGTTCGAGGTAGCATCATCACGTATATACAACATTATATCGTTGATTATTTACATATGTACACCGATCGTCGTGTGCGATATGAACATCTAGTACATTCATTCCAGATGAGCAAGAGTCCTCCCCAGTACGATGCTGTTGGCTACGTGTGCGCCTTTCTGACGACCCTCTTTTCCGCAGTGAACATCGTGGTCCTGCGCAAATGCTCCAAAATACATTACTCCGTGATGATCTTCAACTCGTCGGTCTGGTCCATAGTGGCGGCCGCGCTCTTCTTCTCGCTCGTCCCGGTGGACGCAAATCACATAGGCAGTGAGCTGTCGGCCCTTGGACGTTGGTCCGCCTGGGGTATGATCATGGCGACCGCGGTGGCCGGCCTCTTGGGCCAGATACTGATGGTGACGGCCTTGGCGATCGAGAGCGCCGGCAAGGTGTCGGTCGCGCGCTCCTTCGACATCGTACTGACCTACGCCATTCAGATATACTTTTTCAAGGAAATCCCGACTGTTTCTTGCGCCGTTGGTGCTCTGTTCATTTTGTTTAGCGTCGTTTGCATGGGCTTCGAGAGGAACATCTATTCCGTCTGTGATTTTATACCGTAGTCCGTACGTAGTTGTTACACCGCGCGGAAGAGTTAAAAAGAATTTTTCTTCTTCTTCTGCCTTTTTTTTTTTTTTTTTTTTTTTTGGAAAAAAAAAAAAAAAAATCTTTACTCGAATTAATTAATAATACGTACACGTATGTTGTTAATCGTATACTTTTTGCTTCTGTACTAGAAGAATACAATCATTTTTATTCTTCAACTTTTAATTTTATTTATGTACAGTGTAACATGCATTTCATTATTGCACAGTTATAAATGTTATTCCTAATTTTTCTCGCATTAATACACATTTGAAGAAATACGTGAACGATTTGTTTATAAATCTTGCTTTTTATCGGCATTAATGAAATAATAAGATTTTTCTCGTTTTTAATTATTATGTGTAAGTATCTGGTAATCATTTGTTTAAAGAAAAATACAATTATGGTCAACACTGAGATACTTCATCGTGCCTTGATTCCTCAAATATATACAATGATTAGGTACATTATATTCATTCGTATCCTCGGCCTCTACATATAGAGTAATTATTATACACCATATGGCATGTAAACTACAACTGAGCTGGTACGCGTGATAAAAGATTCTTTGGAGCAACTTACATTTGCTCTTTTTCAATCTACTACACATTTTTTGTTTTTCTCTGAATTTACACATACTCTTGAAATTAAACGTTTCATTGTATTTGACATCTATGGACTTAAAAACAGTGACCACTATCAATTAAACATTCATGAATTTGCTGAAGCATTTTTCGTCAATTACTGAATGATTTGTAAGTTTAATTAACCCATTGCAATCGTTTTTGTTTACACCGACATAACTCTAAAATACTTGCTTTGTTCCAGAATCAAGATTAATTTTTAGTTAAATGAGAAAATTCATGTACACATACAGTCATGTTTCGTCACACTTTCAACACAATAATGTACATTACATGAGCTTGGATTAAAAATTCTTTATTCTCTGTATCTTTGGTGGTTTTTTAAAAATACATTTATAATTGTCAACATATCTTTCAGTAGAGCCGCATGTATTATTTGAGTTACTAATATAAAATTAGTTTTTTTGATTGTTCGTTAAATTTTTTTGGAATCAAAGAGTTGATTGTATTCAAACTATTCCGATATAACACGAAAAGTCCAGTTCAACTACTAACTTTTTAAAAATTGTGCTAACATTACAATTTAATGAATAGTTAATGATACAATTTGTGAACATAAATGATCATTTCATATTTTGTTGCGTTATTTATTAAAAATTTATCGATACCATATTTATTTAACGAAATATTACTTTCAGCCGAAAAAAATCAACATCTCGTGATACATATATAAATTAGTGAATAAAATAAAATTACCCTTAGCTTTCTAAAAGTTTTATTTATCAACTAATTACAGGTAATTATGAACACAATATTATTATTTGAGTGTTCAAAAAGTTTTTATCAAAACTGTACATAGCTGTTTAGTAACAGTAGTAGAAAAAAGATTTACGAAAAATACTTGTAATTTGAAAATATAATTTCTTTATTACATTGAATTTTGTCAAAAGGGATTCTGTGAATAAAATTTTGCACCCAGCGAAAATACAGAGAATAATATTTCGATTCTTTATGTAACAAGACGACATACTTTCTTTAAATATCTAATCCATGCTGTATGAACATCTATTTCTACATTACACATTAAAAAGATGTTATTTGGTTCTGTAGTTTTTCCTAATAGATTGTTCCAATAAGAATATAGAAATTTATATATTTAAAACAAAGATTTTTTTCTACTATTTACAAATATTTCCTCAATATTATTATCATTATTATTTTTTATTATTAACTGTTATTATTATTATAATATTATTACTATTATTGAAAATAAGTAAATTTACATTGATATATTGAATATCTCCAACATATCTGGAAAGTATTCAATGTGTCTTTTTAATATAAACTTTTAAGACTACACAGTATGTTACAGTATATGGTTAGCTATACAACTAATGTTTATAGAAATGTCATTAGCCATGATATTTTTTGCAGATTTTTTTATCTAAATCAAATGAAATTTAATCAAAATTTCGATATTATCGAGGGCTTACAAATTTATAAAATTTGTACAAAACTTTATCAAAATATGTAATTTTTTAAACAGTTAAAACATTCAATTCAATTTGAATAGTTACGTTGTTTTATTTAATGAGAATTACAAGATATCTTAATGAAAACAATCATGACGTGTACTAATATGTAACTTCTAAGATAAAATATACTTTAATTTTCAAAATGTTTACAAAACCCTATAAAAATTAAGCTTGAAAGTAATATTCGATTATCCACAAGCGTGACTGCCAGGTATGTTAATTGGCGTAATGTGTACAGTGTGAGGGAATTGTTTATTTTACTTCAATTGAATGTTTTGTACTCATGAGTACAACTAACATACCTAATTTATGGTCTGTATAGTTTAAACTCTATCCGTACATAAGTTGATTTATTTAGTATATTATTCAATAAAATTAAAACATACTCCAGTATTTACCTAGCTATTATAAATATATGTTATACGTAATCTATAATAAAATTTTAGGCGGCAAAATTTGCAAATACAACAGCAACGAGACTCATGTTTTTAAGATAATTCGATTTTCTATTTACTAAGCACCATCAAGGATGCAAAAATTACTATTATTCGTTTCTCATTTTTGTAACAAGTTAAACAAAGATATTCCAAGAAAACACAGAAATGTAACAATTAGGGAAAAAAGTTAAAAAAAAATTAAGATTTTGTTATTTGAATACAGGCAACTCCTAATTAAAACGATAATAAATTAAATATCATTAGGTAATTAAATACATTGTGTACTTGTTTGAATACATGATTAAAATCTAAAAAAAGACAAGAGATCGAATGTTGCATGAAAAGCCGATCAAACAATAAGCATTATGTAAGGGCAATCAACTTTATATTTTACAATTTAATATTCAAGGAAATAGGCATTTGTTATAATAAATAATTACTTTTGATATTAATCTACAAACTTTAGGTATATTACATATTGGGGGAAAAAAATACGTACATATTTCCTAAATCAGCAAAAACTGACTAGGTAGAGGAAAAGAAAGTTTTTTTGTCAATCAATTAAAACCAAATAACAGAAAGTATTAACCAATTAAATCTAAAATAAACGATACCCGCGCCTACAGTTCAAAAACCAAGTTGTCACACATTGTTCGAGGATGAGTGAAAAATTGATACTCAGGTGTATACGTACGTATTTCCTTTTTAATAGAACAAATCTCAAGAGACGCCTCATGAAAGGAGCCACAGAGTGCAATCAAATATGTACGGGTACGTGTAACAGTAACTCGTTACGAGTCTCAAAAACGAGAGCACACATCTCGCAGGTATACTCGACAGTGTCGGGAATTATAGTCTCGGGCACTGTCTCCTCAACCGAGCCCATGAGATTGTGCATGTCAAGCATACTATCATGCGTCGACTCGACCTTTACATTAAGTTTGACACTGTTGTTATTCGGCCGAATATCTTCAACGTTATTGACCTTTTCAAGATCCGGGAGTATGGACTCATGCATCATCTCTTCTTGTTCGGTAATGACGTTTGCCTCATAAGCAACTTCAAGATTATTACCATCAGTGACAGACTCAAAGAGTTGAGTAGGCTGCACAAACTCCGACTGTACACTGGACTGTTGTTGTTGTTGTTGTTGTTGTTGTTGTTGTTGCTGCTGCTGCTGCATTTGTTGCTGCTGTTGTTGAATTTGTTGCTGCTGTTGTTGAATTTGTTGCTGCTGTTGCTGAATTTGTTGTTGCATTTGTTGTTGTTGCTGTTGCTGATGCTGCTCTGTTGTGAATAGCACGGTATTATTATTTGGAAGTGCAAGCATTGCTGTTTGCTGTTTTCCTTTCGCTTTCCTTGCTGCGGCCGTCTGTTTTCGTGCTTTTGTCGATCTTTTGGTAGGTGCACGACGCTTCGGAGCAGCTTTATTAGGTTTGTGCTTTGGCTCAAAATTAACAATATTTCCATTGTTATTGGTGATGTGGTTCTGATTGATATTAAACTTGTGCAAGCCTGGCTCAATTTTTACATTGATCATCTCCATTGGCGGTGGTTCAGTAGATAGGGATGGAATGCCTAGTGCCTCGTCTTCATTGAGTTTACTCGTAGGAAAAACAGCTGGAGCGAATGACTGCCTACCGTCTATGTGATAGCTGACATTTTTCGTGCGAGGCCGATTTCTCTCACTGGCGACAGGTGGCAAAAGATTTGGCTTGTGCACTATTTGAGGAGGCTGGTGTTGTTCATTAGGCATGACCTTGGGTGTTCTTGTCACCATAGTTTTTGTCTTCTGACCGCGTTTTGCGCCTTCCATGCCCAATGCCACAGGAACTCGCGTTTTTTGCGTATGGATCATCTTTGGTCTGCCAGTTTGACTGGACGACGGCGTATCACTGGCGCTACTCGCACCTGCAGCATTTTTCTTGTCATCTTTTTTAGTCCTCCTCTTCGGAGTTTTCGTTTTCGTAGGAAACGTCTTGGAATTATTAACAATCGAGTCGATGTTTTGCATAGAACTTTCAAAGCTCTTTAAAATATTTTCATAGCCTTCCGCAACATTGGCTCGCTGCTTGGTTTTCTTAGCGACCTTACGTTTAGAGTTTTCATCGGAATCTGAAGGTCCGTCAAGTAAATCATAAGACTCGTTCATGCGAGACCCGAATGTATCCACATCCTGTTTCAATTTGCGTCGGCGTTTGTACTTGCGGGGTCCCGATTGAGGTTGACGACGCAAAGCCGTATTTTCATCGCAATGAGCGACTATATGGGCTACAAGTTCTTCTGAAGTAGGCATCGCCTTGTTACATACTTTACATACGTAAGGATTCAAGCTGTTGTGACATTTTGGATCAGGACCTGAATGATGAGCCCTTACGTGCTCACGCAATACAACCTAATTTATAAAAAAAAAAAAAAAAAAAAAAAAAATTGGTTATTAAACATACTAACATTACGTATGTTCAAGTGAAAGGGTAATCAAAATGACTTACTCTTTGATTGAAAGCACGGGGGCAAATGGTGCAGCCGTAAGGCTTTTCACCAGTGTGTATCCTTTCGTGCTTTCTCAGGGTACCCCCATCAGCAAAAGCTTTCCAACAGAAGCGACAGGCGTACGGTCTTTCACCCGTGTGTATGCGGATGTGTATCTGCTGCGAACTGCGACTGCCAAATGTTTTGCCGCACTCACGGCACGGGAAGGTACGGCCACCCAAGTCTTTGTTGTGAGAGTGACGGTGACTGACCAATGCTCTGCCGTCTGGGAACTCTTCACCACACTCATCGCATGCCACCATTTTATTACGATGGGACATCATATGTCTACAAAAAATACACAACTTTAATGATTAACCTGGACTTTTGTGATAATTTTTAGTCATTTTCATAAATTATTAAAAACGACAATAATTCAACGGTATAAGTAGACACAATTGACTCATTAATTAGCGTACTAGCCGATGAAGTAACACCATTCGAGAGGTCAAGTATCCAGGTCAAATTATGTTGAATATTCACGATAGCTTGATGGAAGGAATCAAATAACAATATGTTAAGAGAAATAAAAGGAAAAGGCAAAAACATGCATGACAGAAGCACAGAAAATGATAACGGGGGGAAAAAACTTTGAAAAAAGGCATAAAATAGACAGTGCAGGAATTGTATGAAAAAGAAAGTTGCATAAGTATATTCGGACATTGCATGCACATAGAGTAAGCATGGGGAGTTCATGAACTGAAACAGATGAATTTTCGCGTAATAGAGGGATGAAACGAATGAAAAATGTGAAAAACAATATTGCATACCTTCTCAATCTGGCTTTGCTGTGGAAACGCTTTCCACATTTTGTACAGCTGAATGTCTTATCATTATTGTGCATCCACGAATGTTTCAATAAACTCCGTTTATCCTTGCATGTTTTACCACACTGCAAACATGTATTTGGTGGGGCGGTGCTAGCATGATTTTCCCGAATGTGTTCTGCAAGGTCTGCATCATCTCTACACTTACTACCACACATAAGACACCTACGACTAGGAGATCTGCTACATTGAATAAAAATAAGTTAGTTTTTGGCTAAAAACAGTTGACTTTTGATAAGAAATGTACGATATGAGTCACCTGGCATGTGATTCGGCATGGGCCAGTAAGGCTAATGCTTCCTCAAACCATTCACCACATACATTACACACATGCAGTGGACTAGAACTTTCTATAGCATCAATTTCTTGTTTTATATGCGTTCTAAAATAAATATTAAATAACAATTTAATGGACACAATATGCCAAGATTTTAGAATGTATTAGTCAAAGAAACTTACTTTCTGTGACGCTTCAAAAGTTCTAGTCTGTGGAAAGGAATGCCGCACGTTTCACAAGTATAATCACCCATTCCCTCTTCATTAGTATACGTAAAATTATTTTCACTTTCTTCTTGTTCTGATGGGCCAATAGAAAGGCCGTGTTTAGTCCTCATGTGTTCATTGAACATATTTAAATCCCAGAATATTTCACTACAAGATGTGCACTCAAACGGACTGTCACCTCCATGTACTCGCGCATGAGAGGCTAAAGCTTTTTCTCTAGCGAAACTAAGACCACAAATTTGACAAACGTAGGGTTTAGTAACATCTGTGATTGGCCACCGTTGCACTTGTGGCTCATTAGTAGTCAATTGATCCGTCCACCTATAAAAATAAAAAAATAATTTGTAAAGATTTCAACGAAGGAGAAAAATATAAAGTATATTTGCATCAGTTTTATATCAGATCACTTACTTGCTCATAACTAATTTATTTGCATCGTTAAGGGGTTGTTTTGCAGGAGCTTTGCGTTTCCTTGTTGTGTTAGCCGGGGCTTTTTTACGGCGATTTTTAGAGAAATTGTCTTCATTTCCTCCTAACGGATCTCCGATATTATAGTTCATACTTTCTGACGGTGCATAAGCATGGATTTTCAAGTGATTAGCAAGTTCAGTTCTTTTTGAAAATGAAGCACCACACAAATTACAATCTTTGGGACGTTCTGTCGAATGTGTCATCATGTGTGACATGAGAGAAGCTTTTTTCTTGAATCTTTTATTACAAAAATCACATGGATAAGGTCTAATATCTTGTTCACACAAGGGTATGGGGATTTCCATATCATCATACTCCAGCAAACTATCATGGGGAACTTTGACGTCTGGCACTTCCATTCTGTAAAAAAATTCAACAATAATCCATTAAATATCAAAATATTAATTTTACTTTGGAATCATAAATTAAGAACTTACCCATCTTCAGGACCAGATCTCGCCCAGCTTTCAGCAATAACTTCTTCTGTGACTTCGATGTTAAGATAATCGTGGCCCTGATCTTGTGGCACAATATAAATGGATTCCATGTCATTTGATTGTGGAACCATGAGAATTTCTGCATCTGCATCTGTTACAGGCAAAGATTCTGGGTGTTCGGAAACTGTTTCCACAGTTTCTTCCACTGAGACTTCTTCACAGGCTCCTACTACTTCTTCCACTGGAGCATCTAACTCTGCCTCTAGGCCACATATGACCTCTTCATGGATAACATTTCCCACCTCTTCGACCCATTGCAGGGTCAGATCACCTCCAACTTCCATGGACATGATTGATGATGGTGTGCTGCTACTTTATCACCGACACCACTGCAAAACAAGCAAATTTAAATATATATCAAGCCACTTTTAACGCTTGATGAATATTCAGCTGAGCAAGAGTTAATTTTCGACAAAGTTGCATCAACATTAATTACAATTAGTCTACGGTCTCTCAACTTTCGTTACAGACATATCATTTTCATCTTTAACACCTAATCATGAACGTATGCTATGAAACCGTAAAAAAAGGCAATACTTTAACAAAACACAATCATATGGATTGGAGAGATAGCTAAGAGAGACAGAGAAAAAAAAAACAAGAGCCAACGCCTACGAAATTATGCGCATCGCCGAGAAAAAAAATCTAATCGTCGCACAACATGTCGCGACCCGATAACGGTAGTCCGACCTCCTCGTGGAAGCCGCGGCGTAAAATTGGCGACCCTCCTCGGAAAGAGACAGGAGTTTGTTGACATCTGCAATTAAAGGTTATAAAATGTAAAATGTAGGTTATGCTTCGAAAAAGCCGCTCGGCGAATATTTAGAGCAGAAGATCGATCGGGCCCGTCGAGCGCGAATCATCGGACGGTTGCATAACATCACAAGCGGTCGACGGTCGCGAGGCAGACCCAAGCAAGACCCGACACGTCCGCTACGCTAATAACGGCTGAGCGTCAGCAACGGAGCGGAGAGACGGAGACTCGATTCGTCGGTGGTGGTCCCGGATAGTTACAGTGCTCGGGCGGCCATATACCCTACATACATGTCTGCACCGCCACCATTTCTCGTTTCACACCCGCAAACTTATTTCCATCTTTACTTCCAAACGATAGGTATAAACAACGATGTAGACGATTCATTGATGTTTCATACAACTTTACTGATAATGGAGGAAAAACCGGGGTCTTTTGACCTGTTGGATTGCGTACACGACATAGGTACAACATTATCGTCCTCTGGACGAGCACACAACACTTACTTTTAACAAAAATGACGGCGACGACGTGGTGTTTACTCCTCACTTACTCCCTGAAGCAGTAGCACAACTCATAATGACGATATTGCTCGTCCTAGAGCCTAAATTAAAAAAACCGTAAGAACTCCTCTGTATGGTAGCCAAAAAGTAGCTATGCAGGCTGGTTTTGATTCACGTTTTTCTTCTCCGTTTGTGGGAGTATCTCCCGAGTACGTAGCACTTTATTAGAAAGCACTAAAAATGCACTCACTAGTTCAATTTGCGGATAGCTTTGCCTTTACCCGCGAAATGGTAAGTATATACACACCTAACCAATAAAATTGTTTGCAAGTTGCAACAGCAAGGGAGGCGGCGGAGGCGGTGGATGATGAAGCTGCTGCTGCCGCCGCGTGCAAGAGTTGTCCGGATGGGGCGAGTATGTTTGGCGGACCGCTACCCGAGACACTGCGCGTCGTCGTCGGCTCGACCTCAACTTTTTCCTGGTGATAGCGCTGATGTACCGCGATCACGACGATGATGACGATTTCGGCGACCTTCACTTGTTTTTTTCAATTATTTCTTTACTTTCTCAACGTTGCGGTGGTAGTACAACTACACACAGAGGTGGTAGTGATACGCTGCGCGGTATATAGATATAGGTACACCACGTAAGGTTGTACCATCAGTCCATCAGTAAAAGTAGACATGTACCATTCCACATCACCCGGGAAAGTATACCTATATGTATAGCCGTGCAACTGAGCGAGAAAGCGTTAGCCGTTGCGCCTTTCTTTTCTCTCTCTTAACGTCTATATTGCTGTGGAAGTTACAACAAAATGGCTGGCGCGCGCGCTCTTGTCTTCTCTCCTGTTCTTGCCTTTTACGTCTGCTTTTACGCGTGTGTGTGAGAAGGATGAGAAACAGCGGGAAGACGAAATAGACCAAGAGCTGAGACCCGAGAGTGGTCAAAAATCTAAACCAGCCGCCCGCCACTCCCCCGCTAATGTTCTGAAACTTCATGATTCGTGGCGATCCGAAAAATTTTTGTCATGAGTATTTCATTCTAGTGACGAGTTGTGTGGTAATTGAAATAGTGCCATGTAGTAATTTTTATAAACCAACCGCAACATAGACCAACGGATAGAAAATAAAAAGTTCTTTGGTTAAATGCCATTTGCGGCAAGATCAGAATTCAGTTTTTACTCGATATTTGGCCTTTAAAAAATGGATCCATAGTCGATTTTCAAGTAGAAGATAAATTAAAATCTTACCACAAATGACATTTCACTAGACAACTTTTTGTTTTCTATCCTTTGGGTAAAGTTGCGGTTGGTTTAAAAAATTGACCATATGACACTACTTTTATTACTACATAATTCTTCATCAAAATGAACTATGACAAATATATTTCGGACCTCTATGAATTATCAAGTTGTGTAATTTTGGTGAGAGTTGCGGCTGGTTTAGATTTTTGACCATCCTTGGGCCCCAGCTATTAGTCTAAAAAGAAAAATGTTCCGCCGATCGGTTGTCGGTTGTCGGTCGGTCGATGCGATCATACATGTGATATATTAACCGATACGATTGCGTGTGATACGTGCGATAGCCGGTCAATTTGCACGTGTGTCAGTAGTTTGTGTATATATATGTATATCAAGTATCAACATTGATCAGAGGATCAGAGAGCTTTTAGACTTTAGATTTAGAGAGACTCCAAAGTTTCAGACTGAGGTCCGATTCGCATCCCAATTGTATGCTGGCATCAACAGTTGAAAATACGATTCGGATACGATTGAGAATCGGGAAATTCAGGATGCGAATAAGTACTTACGATTTATTTATTTATTCGAACGCATAACCGCACTACTAAATATATGCCCCCTAAGTGTGATGTTGACTCTTTTGAAAAGTATATTTGCTAAATATAAATTATTTTTATCTGAATGTAAATATAAATCAGGTTCATCTGAAAATCAGTAAAATTTTAACAAGCACATAGTGCATTTCGTATATTGTATTTGCTTACTTCTATTTCCTAAGTTTCTTGGTGATTCTCTCATTTCTTAGAGATAAAGTTATTGATTTTCAGAAATAAGCGGATGAACAGAAAAAAAAGTTTAAAAATATTTTTTTTATATGTATGTATACATACAGCCTATCTGCAGTGTCTTCAAAAATATAAAAATTAAAAAAAAAGTCTAAATTAATTTTGAAAAACCCGCGTTTGATATTTTTAGACAACAACGGACAGTCTAACGACGTTACAACTTAAGGGTGAGATTACATGGAGTCTGGCAGTCTGCAGACTGGCAGAATCGCGCTAAGTTTAAATTATGTTTAAATTATAACATCTCTGAATAATTTAGTAAAATAAAGAAAAAATTGTAATTATTGTCATAACAGAATAAAGGCTTAGTTACAATCAATTTCATTTACAATAAAACGTGTCAAATATTATTTTATAACTTTTTTTCTAGATTCATGTTAACATCGCACAGTCGGTCAGTAGGGTCACTGATGTAACCTGGTATGTATAACAAAATGTAACTGTGACAAAACGTTTTTCGTCGCCTTTTTTTCATAAATATTGGTTAATACAGAAATGCAAATGTATTACGATAATTATTTCTTTGCTTACGTAACAGAATTTAAATATTAATATTGAAATATATTTTAAACTTAGCGCGATTCTGCCAGTCTGCAGACTGCCAGACTCCATGTAATCTCACCCTTATAAGTTACAACACAACGATCAGTGGAAATAGGTGGCGCTTTTATCAGTTTAATTTTTACATATTTGAAAAGGGGGGCGAATGATCAAACGGAAAACTTGTGATGTATTTAAATACAAGTTCCGACTCAAAAACTGAAACACGCTCCTTTTTCTCCGTTTTTTTGTGATAAGTTAAACCAAACTACTTGAATAATATCTCTTTGGAGGATTTCCCCAAAAAACTTGCGTTTTATAAAATGAAAATAAGCTTGATGATGTTCTGCTTTAAAATGTAAAGTGAAGTTGTTTTTAACCTGTTCAATGTTAGCGTAAAAACTTTTAATAATCAACGAACGGACGAAGTTCGCGATTTCATGATAAACAAAAGTGAACTTGGTAGAAGATAGTGAAGATACGCTGGTGTTACGTAAATGAAAAAATTGATTTCTTATGGAATTAATATTTTATACTTTTAAATCTGAGACTTAACCAAGTGTCAGAATGGCAGTAAACAAGACTCCAAGCAGCTCGTACAGTTTTTTCAGTGATTTGACTGCATCAGGGGTATGTTTGATACTAGTCATTTCTTGAATTAATGTGTTTGGTCGAATTTTTATTGTTGTTTTACTTATATTTTTAGGGAAGTAGTTATATGCTTCCAGTGAGAATAAAAGTTACCCCAAATACATCAGCTAGGCCCTTATCCGGAAAGAAACAACACAGTGAGATTTTAATTATAAGTTACACATTTACTTAATTAAAACATTATTCATAAGATCGTTTATTTTGATCTAGTTACAGATAAAGAGATACTTCAACCTATTCTCATAAAAGATCTATTTAAAAACACACAGAAAGATGGACGAAACTCGATACTTTCATCAGGTAAATACCTTTTCACATACTTTTATTTTTTATTTCTCCAAAAAAATTACGTTAAAATCTTATTAATTTTTCAGTGTCTACACAAAAAAAGAGTACCCATTCTCAAAGATCAAGTCAACCTTATTTAACAACACAGAGTTGTTATAAACCTAAAAAGAATGAAGGTTTGTCCAAAGTTTTATTGGTTACTCTTGTATTTATCTCTTGCTTTTAATTAATTATTGTATTCACACAGTTGAAGAACAAAACCTTTGTAATCTGAAGTCCAGTGGAGGAAATAAAGTTAGGCGCCAGTTGTATACAACCTTAGACTCTCCACAAAAGTTTAGCCTCGAAAGCAAGGAAAATTCAACTAAGATGAAAAAGCCAAAGAAAACTATTTCAAAAAATTTGGTTGAAACTATATCGAAAAAGGATCAAATGAACGACAATAGTAGAAAAAGCCTATTGCTACCACCCAATACTATTAAAAATAATTACATTAGAAGGTCAGGGTCTAGCTTTAAAACGGTAGTTGAACAGACTACAAAAACTAGAACATCCGACGTTAATAAAACTGCTAAGAATACTTCACAAAATACCGAAACAAAGAAGTCTAACTACAAATTGCAAAATAATGATAAGGAAATTTCAGCTAAAAGTAATAAATCTTCATTCAATCCTACAGATCGTGAAAGTCAGTTTGGGACAAAAGATAATTGTTCTGTCACATCACCAGTTTTCAATAGGAAAACACGCAAAACTAAGCTTCCTTCTCATACCGATGTAATGGAAAGACCCTCTGTCATAATGAGTCCATCAAAACGGAAATCAAAACGATCAAATAAGGCAGACATTGGTTTAGAAAAGCAAAATCCACGTGTTAGCAGAGCGGTGTGTATTAGCAACATACCAAAAACTCAAAATACCAGTAAAACTGAAGTCCTGGAGTTTGATTACACGAAAATAAATAGCTCGGATCAAAGTAGTTTGATCCAGCTTAAAAATTTTCTTGAAAAATCTTTACACACATCGGAAAGCCAAGCTTTACATTTGAAAAGAACGCTTCAAGATTTAGAAAATCAAGTTTTGCAGTTAAATAAAGCAATAAGTTGTATTAACACGATCATTAGTGAAAAATCGGAAATCGAAGTTGCAGTAAAAGTATCAAATGATCAAGTAAAAGAATGTACTGAAGTTACTGAAAAATGTAATCTATCTTATACAATTTTAGACAGTGATGAAAATTTACCTATACCGGTACCTAACAAAAATCTAGAGACCGAGAATAACAAATTGATAGAAAAAATTATTGTCTCTGAAAATGTAAATTTATCGTTTTCAAAAGAGCAACAAGAAAAGACAGAAGAGAAATCCAAACCTGAAGTTTTGATGCCAATAAGAATACTAGTAAACGACGCAGATTTACATCAAGAATGCAGTGAAGCATCTTTAGAAACTTTGAATGAAGTTGCGCGCTTATCTACAATTGGTGAAGTATCTTGCGAAATGTCCTCTGACGTCAATGAGTCAAAGAAATATGATGAGAAAGATCATTCTGTAAAAGACGACAAGAATCATTCTTTTGAAGATGAAAATTATAAATGTGAGAATAAAGAAAATATTGACGACTCTGCAAATAAGATGATGCACACACCGAGTCAGTTGAAAACGTATCGGCGATCAAAGTCACTTATCGACAGTTGTAACTCGCAAAGAAGACGATCGGCTAGAATAGCCGCGAAAAATATGTCCCACTCAATGCTATCCAATTCGGATAGACAAGACAGTTTTACGCTTTTGGAGAACGAATTAAATGTTGTTCACAAACCGCCACCCTCGAAATCAGCACCAGTTTCACCGATTAAGGTTCCCTTTACACCCTCATCAATAAAGCAATGGGGAAATCTAAGGGTCCCGCTGAAAGAATACATGGCCCTAAAGATAGATGGGTCCTTCCTAGTGACGCCTGATGTCAAGAAATTTCAATCGCGCTTAGAACCAACGGATACTCCGTCCTCCAGAAAGTCGCTGTCACGGAAGATATTTATGGAACTTTGCGATCTTTATGCTGAATCACCTGAGCACAATTGACAAAAGGTTTAATTCTTTAAGTTTTTTTTTTTTTTCAAACTTTTTTACGATGGATTCTTATTGCATATACATTATTTATTCATTAGTAGTTTAATTTGACTATAAAATACATTGTACTGTGTAATATGTTAAACTTGTAAATTTCCTTATTGCTATTAAACATACTGGCTATGTATATTTTTTACTAAGACAAAATAAATATAAGATTTATTCTATATAGTAAGAATTTTAATAAATCTAATAATAATAGTTCAACTCACATTAGTTCTAATTCCGGGGATGTTTTTATTTTAATAAAACAATTAGTCGTAATATTAAAGTATCGTTTGTAGAAAAATGATAGTATTTATTTAAAATATAACCTTATGTTCGATATTTTACAAATTTGTTATGATAAAAACAAGTATAAGTCTCGAAAGAATCTTATATTTATAACAAAATTGTTTGGTACACTATATTTCATTGATCAATAAAACGTAGCCAACACTGCAATGTCAATCATGTCTAATCACTAAATTCTATATCAGAATCTTCAGATTCGGAATCACTTTTAACTTCGCACATTTCTATTTCATTATCTTCTTCTTTTTCAACTTCTTTCATTGAAAATTCTGACCGCAGCACCATTCCTGACAACTTGGATGTCAGATAGACTTTTTTCAACAGTTTTTTTGTGGATAAGTCATGAACATACAAGTGCCTGTCATAACTGACACTAACAACGTAAGGTTCACTTTTACTAACTGCTAAAGCAGTAACTGCTCCAACAGGACCCTTGTATGAATTTAAAATTTTACCGGTCTTACGTAAGTCTACCAAGTTCATTTTTCCCTTACCTGTTCCACAAACGACTTGGAAATCGTGAAAACAGGAAGTCACACTAGTCACTGCTTCGTCTTTCATTTCAACATCCAACACAGGCCTCCTCTGAGCATTTGTATCGTAAAGACGTATATGACCATATTTCCCCACAGTTAACACTTGTCTATCATCGGACATAAAGCACAAGTCCGAAATGCTTACGGGTACTCTCATTTCCAACCAATCGTGTCTTACATTCTTCGCAGTAAAAGTGTTGGCCTTTTTCTCCAAATTGAACAACTTCAGCGGATTCTCCAGACCTCCAGTGGCGATGACAGTTTTTTCCTTTCTAGCTTGCCGCATACGACATAATCCTTCACCAGCCTCCAGCAGCAGCTGCTCTCCCAAATTATCATTGTGCGTCCACAGTTTGATCTGACCAGATTGAACAGCAGTCAGAATGTGATTGTTGCACTTGGCAATACCAGTAATGGGTCCTTTGCCAATGTCGCAAACAAACGAGGTTTTGAACGAGTGATATTCCGTGTCGAAGGTCTTGACGCTCCTCGTATCTTTTGATCCACACGCCAAAAGAATTTCCTTCTCATCGTTGTCGCTCCACGTCATAAAGGTTACCTGGTGGTGATCAGTTATGGACACTAGGTTCTGTATGTTTTTTGTGAGGCACGATTTCTCCTTAACCTTGATGCCTTTGAATACACCTGACTGGCCACCCACGAAGACATTAAAATCATCCTTGTAATTCATTATTTGTCAATTAAGAAATTAAAAACAACGAACTCTCCTTCAACCGCACATCAGCCGCATATCAGAGCGCGTGGTCCGCGAGATCGACATCGACCCGTATTTTGAAAACAATTGTAGGCGCGCGCGCGGGTTTCGACCTTCAACCTTCGAATCCTTCGATATCGATTACTATGATTTTGATTTGAGCCGATTAAGGTCGATTCATATTTTGAAACGAGTTAAGTCGATCCAATAAATTCAGCCATGATGGATTTCAGTAAATTTGAATTTGAAGTGTTAATTGAAACGTTAATTTACTGTAATGGTATACTTATGATTTTTGAAATCGGGATTTAGAAATTTAAAATTATTGTTTTTATCATGCATTTTCGAAATAGATTTCTACTTTTTATTTTACTTTAAAATCAATTGCTTGTTTAAGTAACGAGCACATATTTGTTGTACATAATATGTACTGTTATTGAAATCGATCGAACCGAATTTTTACTACTTATGTTTTTATTATTATTATTACTTTAATCAGATCAGATTAATCGAAAGTCAAATGTGGCACTGGTGTGTGAAGCAGTGCTATTTTTATGTACGTCCAGCATATATATTATTTGTACATCTTTTAATTATCCACAGAAAAAAAAATTTACATACATTTATAAACAAATTAATACTTGTAAACAACGGAAGTTTCTTAAACTTGCACGTGATGAGAAAAGTTAACTGCGTAACATTTTGGACGATAGTGAAGTTTTATTCCCTAAAATATCCTACAGTCTCCATAGAAGTATTAAGACATTTATAGATTTTAGGAGACTCTGCTCTCCAGCGAGCTCGAGTGGTGGCATGCAAGCTTCCGTAAATTAATATGTAAAAACCTAAAAATAGCAGATAGCAAGGCTTTAGCTACTGTGGTAGTAGTGAACGCTAAATTTTTACCACGCCTAAGTAGCTAATCTCAATGAGTCAGTCTCTTTCTGATATTAATGAATATGATATGTTCGATACTACTTATTAAGTATAGTATGCTTTAAAGTGTTAAAAGGCTCGCTTGTCATTCAGGGTGGAGTGGAAAGAAGAGAAATAAACATAAATACTTCAAACAATTTTTCATAGGGAGTCGTATATTAGAGAGAGGTACTTATCGAGCTCTGGCTAATGTTGAGGATCGAGCGCTCTTTTTCCCTTACAATTTATTAATAAAGCGACGTAAGAATTAATTGAAAAAAAAAAAAATTGTCCCCCCTGTGGAGTGTGGAGTACGACAAAGACGCGACGAGAGGAGAAGAGGAGTATATAGGTATAGGAGTTTCTGTCTCCTACATCTGTATATCTATTTATATATAGTGTACAATTATTTTTCCTTCTCTCATCTCTCTTCTCCAGATCGAGTGTCTGCTTTTTCATTCTTGATTCGCTCTGCATCTGCACAACTGCAGAGTGTGTGCAGTGTTGTTCAGTGTGTTTGTTTGTAACGGCATGCAGTAATTCATGTACTGTCAAAGTGCATTTATTGCAGATCCAAGAACCGCACGTTAATTGGATTAAACTAATGGACCCTAGTAGTGTTTTACTCAATAACATTATGCGAGTGACGTCTCGTAAGTTGTGCGTGAATAGTCTACGAAGTGTCAACAAGAAGGAGTAGGCAAGGGCGTTGCTGGCGCTATACACTTCCTCTCCGAGACCTGGCAAGGAAAAAATAGTGTTTTATTGTTGCATAGTACTTGGAAGAAATGGCCCGACCGAAGCATCGTGCGAGCGTCGACGTCTGCGCCGACTGCAGCTGTCCTGGTAAGTGTGCATGCAAGCTTTTTTAGTTTGATTTATTTTTTATCAGTGATGACGACAAGCTGGTGAAAGCTGATGGAATACCAAGCAATGATTCATCTGTCGTTGATCGGTACCAAGAATGGAGCATTCAAAGCATTTTGGAGTCGAATTGTTTTTCTTTCCCCCCCTACCCGTATACTGTTTCATTTGTAGTTGAATTGATTGATCCCACGTTATTAGGCTTCAATTTTATTTTTTGAATTCTCAAAATACACATTTTTTTTTATTTTTGTCCTTCTAGAGCCAGCATGGGCTTCTGTAAACAGAGCTATTTTGCTGTGCGACGAGTGCTGCAGCATACACAGGAGTCTAGGCAGGCATGTGTCCTATATCAAGTCGTTGACAAAGGGAGTTTGGAGTTCAAATACGTTAAATGTTAGTTATCACCAACCATGTATTTTCATTAGTAAGCCTTGACACACACTTAGTTTTTATTAACATATTATTTTCATTCATTTTGCGTTTTCTTTCATTTCCTTGAATGAGTATTTAATTGATTTATAAAGTAAGTATGAGGCATTTTAGATATGCCCGTGGTAAGTGATATTAAATGAATACACAAAAATAGCCACTTCAAAGACTTTTTAATTAGATTGATTATCATTATCTCAGTTCATTAACATCTAAACTTGCATAACATCTACTTATCACCTTGTATTAATTTCTGTTATTTTTTTTCTTCAAAAATTTTATCATTTCATGTGATAAGGAATGATACAAGCATAATTGATTGATAATTATCTATTTTCATAACTGAAATAATATTTTTTCATCCACTTTTTAATTATCAACCTAAATAGTTTTTTAACTAATTTTTATTTTTTTAAAAATTATTTTACCTGCTCTATTTTTTTTATTCCGTTAATTAAATTATTGTAGATGGTACGAACATTAAATGATAACGGAGCCAACAGTATTTGGGAGCATTCCCTCTTAGATCCCAGTAATTCTAAATTTAGCAGAAGGAAACCTCAGCCAAAAGACCCTTTACAGTTAGTAGTTTTTTTTTTTCAGTACTACCCATTTAATATTTCTCGGAGGTAAATTACTCTCATTAATGCATACATTCTATTTGTAGTCCTGTTAAAGCAGACTTTATCAAAGCGAAGCATCAAGAGTTAAAATTTATATTGAGATCATGCAAGGAAGAATTTTGCAGCGAAGAAGAACTTAGCAGGCAATTGCATAGTAGCGTTCGAACAGGAAATTTTGAAACTTCCTTAAGGCTTCTCGCTCAAGGAGCTAATCCTAATTATTTTTACAAGGTAGAAAATTGTGATTAGACTAGTTGATTGTGATTATAAACATTTTTTGCAATAAAATTTGTGTACAACCTTGGTAGGAAAAGGGAACAATGCCCTTACATGTGGCAGCCAGAGCTAATCAAGCTCTTCAAGTTGAACTCCTCATTGCCAATGGCGGAAATCCTAGTATGCTAGACTCAAATGGACAAACTCCAGCTGAAGCAGCAAAGTAATAATAATTGTTCAATGTACAAACAAAAATTGTTTAACGTGATGAAAATTAAACTGAAAAAAAATTAATTTTAGACTGGCGGGGCATTTAGATTTATACGACCGGCTTGTTGAATGCATGTACGAAGTTACAGATAGGCTTACATATTTTTTGTGCAATAAAAAACCAGATCATAAAAATGGCGAACACTTAATTATCCCGGAGTGGTCGGCTACTTTGGAAAGAAATTTTGAAGCCAGGAATAAATTGCAAATGGTAAATACACTCGCTTTTTTTTGTAACTTCTATTCTGATGGTAATTAATTCTCTTATTTTCAGTTACCAAATCATTTATTGGAAGAACTCGCGTCAGACGTTTACGACGAAGTCGATCGCAGAGAAACTGATGCGAGTAAGACATACTTTTTACAAAAAAAATAAATATATATACAAAGTAGAAGTATAGGCTAGGCCCTTGAATATCCAAAGTGTTATACCGGTCTATTAACAAAACGCCCTTTATTTTTCCTCTGTACCTATAGTATATGCATACCCATTAACATTGTGTTCAAACCTGAATTTTGTTTTTCTTCGTATTCATACTCATTAAAATTCATTTAAAAGTTAATTAAGATAAAAAAAAAGAAAAGAAAACATTAGTGCTGTTTAGTTGACCATATCTATCAATGTTATTAATGTGCATGAAATATTTTTCAAAATGCTTATCTAGAAGGAGAGGTAAGTAAAAAACCTTTGAATCTCGCAAGAACTCGAATGTGTAGCTTCATTTTTACCTTTTTTTTTGTACTTATTTACGTCAAGTATAGATACTTATTATAAGCGAATGAATGTCGACAACATCGAATCACTTTCGTATATCATATTTGGATCGATTTAGCGCACCTGTAGCAACAATAATGTCTTAGATATACACCCTGTTTCTCTCTTTACCTCTGCTTGTTGTAATTTTTCGTTCCATGCAAAATGGCATGAAAGCAACATTGTTATTATATATTACATCTCGACACGCGCAATACACCAGTGCTTCAAAGTGAAACTGCACTATCGATTTTTTTTTTTTTGTCCAAATTGATAAAATCGTTTTCTCCAATAGTTTGGCTGTCGTCGGCATCGCTGCCAGAACGGTGTATAGTGCCATTTTTGCCGATCCACCCGCAGCTCTCTTCGACCCGTAACCAAGGCCGGCAAAAACTGGCCAGATTCACACCAAAGGAATTCGCGACGCTCATCATAGATATATTAACGGAGGCCGGGCACAGGCATGCGATGGCCAACAGTGCCCCTCTACCAGGTGAGGATTCTTTTTTTTTTTTTCATTTAAAATTTTTTGTTTTAAGTAAATTTGCGTTTTTTCAAGTAGAAAATTCCGTAGATCCAGCTGTGTCCGCGCTTCGCAAGGAACAATTACGTAAACACGGGTCGCAAATGTCGGACGACGAGCCGCTCTACGACAGCGTAGCTTCGGACGACGATTACGCGGCTCTCGCCACGGATGGAATTTCAGACGAGGTAAGCAGCGTTTGTTTGATCGATAAGTACGTTCTAGAGCGAGTGAATGCAGATGCTAATACAATAAAAGAACAAGTGTACACGATAAAACGTTTAAATATTATTGAACTTGAAGGTGCCAGGATTTAAACGACCATTTGTGCATCGTTTGAGTGCTTGGCTACTCTGTAGACCATTTTATTAGGCAAGTTCAGTTTCATGCGTACCTATAATCTCTGTCGAGCAAATAGTAGTTTTCCTACGAGTTTGAAAAGTCTCTGTTTGCAAACCGAGAGGTTTGCGGCCCGAGCCGAAGGCGAGGGACGTAACGAGGTTCGTAAAGGAGACTTTTCGAACGAGTTCCGGAAAACTGCTTTTTCGCCCGAGGAAGTACCAGCCTCCCAAAACCACCCGGGGGCGGAAAAATTGATTTAATGTCTCGTTCGTTTAAGTTACGTATTTTCCCAAAATTTACCCACCTTTGATTCTACTTTAAACGTTAATTTTGTATGAATTATTAAAAATTTGTAACAACAAGAAATGTATATACTTATTCTGTAATGTAAATATTTGGGATGAATGTTATTTTAAGTTGTTTAATCATTGTTTATTCTGTGTTCACAATTCAACTATAAATACACATTATTGTTGACATTTCATCATCTTTTATGATGTGAACGATGAGTTGTATTACTTACTCTTTATTCTGGTATTATTTACAGAAGGCACTTGCTCCAATGGCCAAGGGACTGCCGTCGGTCGTTGAAGTATTGAAAAAACAGTTGATGCTATCGGAATCTACGACAAGAGATCTCAGAGATGAAATAAAGCGCCTTCACATCACACTTGAGCAGTTAACGCAAGAGAATCGTGAATTAAAGGGTGCAATTCAGGTATAAATTTTTTGTTGCTATTATTTATTTATTTTTTTTATTTTTTTTTTTATATCAGTAAATAACAATGATTTCACCGTAGGCTCAAAGCAAGTTGCAAGCTCCCCAAGAAAGAATAAATGGACACATCGGAGAACACGATCCTGAATTAGAACCTGTTCTCGATATCAAACCCCCTTCCACGCCAACGAGAGGTGGACAACGACCAGCATCGATGTATGAAACTCGAGAAGGTCTTAGAAAACCACCGAGTTTCATGAATCAAGTAAGTTAATTTCTGAGTATTCGCTTGTATAATTCTCGAGCATTTTATTTTAAATCATTCTACAATAATTAAAAAAAAAAACTTTTCAAGGCCAAAAGAGAAGTTGAGGGATTACCACGACCTTGTACGACGCAAGGACTGTGGGAATGTGGTGCAGCTAATCTACCACCCAGTGAAGAAGTGAATAAACGCACGGAACAGGTGACGAGACGAATCCAGGAGCTTTGGATGGCAATGCAAAATCCGACGCATCGCGAAGCTTTCGTACCGTGCGCCGAGCGCATCCGCGTTGCCGTCGCCGAACTCGCGACCATCTTTCCTCAGGTAGTTTTATTTATTGAGACAGTTTCATTTTTGTTTGCTATTAGAATGAAGAAAATAATATTATTCATTATACAACTTGTAGAACCCAGTGGATGACAATATCAGATGTGCTCTTCGTCAGTTGCATGGAAATACGGGCAGATTGCAAGCGGAATGCACTGCGTTACAAAGATGTACCAGTGATGTGGAACACATGGACCGGTGTCTTCAACAAGTTCGTTCCAGTGCCTATGACATTGCCAAAGCTACTAAACTTCTTGTCACACAATTTCACGTATCGTAACGGTGATTCATCACTTTTTTTTTATTAATATATTTTACTATTGATAACTGTTGCGTTACACTTTATGTCTAAGCCGTTAGATTGTTTTTCCATGGAACAATTTTTACTAAATTGTTATGATGTTTCTCACATGGGTGTGATTCGATATAATTGAATACTGCTTCAAAAAATTATGTAAAATTTAAAGTATTTTAAAGAATGCATTACAATGAAATTTCATGTAATTTTCCATTACTCGAGTGTATAGCAGTTACTAAAGTATAAGATTTTCTCTATTGGAATAACTATATTTTGTAAATACACGTGTACATTATTCGATAGAAATCAATGTTTGGGGATCATGTGCGATTTCTTGATCCTGATTTGTTATTACCGATTATCATACAATCAAGACTGAATTATTAGCCTTTCAACGTCAATCACCTTTTTACTTTAAACATTTTTTGACGACGTTCGATGCCGATGTTTTAAAGGCTTTCGTTTGTGATTGTAATCAAAGAAATAATTTTTTTTTTTTTCATTGCATAATTGGCATTTATTTTTAATTAAGAGTGCAATAACGAACAGTATGTGAAATATTATGATGTTTTTTTTAATGTTTTTAATTTTTAAAACAAATACTGGCATCGAAACAAACTAACATTGCATTTGATGTGCACGACTATGGTGCTTAATGATGGATAGACTAGCTTTTACATAAAGATATTACTACTCGTTGGTTGTTGAAAGTCTAACTTTTATCATCCATAAATTGTCGTAAAATACAAATACCATATGAAACAGCTCTTACAATTAACGATATTGATATTATTACACGTAATTTCTGATGAACCATTGTATGAAACATTAATCATGTGCCTATCGCGTTAATTTTTTATTTATAGTTTTAACTTTAAAGTCATTTGATTGAACGAAAAAAAAAACAACTCTGATTTGGTTGTATATACTTTGAAACCGAATCGCAAAAGTTCGTTTACCAGTCATTTTGCGTATTTACACATTTTAATTAACATTACTTTTACATGCATATTTTTTATGCACGAAATATAATCAGATACAACTGTACGCACCAGTTTTTTCTGGAACGTTCTTCGTTTTTTTTTTTTTTTTGTTTTTTTGTTTTTTTGTTTTTTTTTTTTCGTTTACGTGTATGTACAACGCTGTAACCATTTTCGATGACAATAAAACAATTGAATGTTATCTTTGAATAACCCCGAAAAGTAAATTTTCACCCTCTGCTCACTCGTGTCTCTCCTAAGATTGGCCAAAGAAATCGAGGTTGTTACTAAAATCGAAACAATGGCCGAAGAAAAGCAAGAAGCAGCACTCGCCTACACGTATCCTTTGTGCAAAGTACGTACGGCCATTGGCAGATTTAATGCATATATTTTTTTATTCACTCGTGTAGTCATCAAATTTACTACTTTCGAGTTAGTACACGGACATGCAGGACGACATGAAGAGCGAAGCCATGGAAATCACGGTGACGGCGGTCGAGAAATACGCGGACAATTACGAGAGCGCCGCGCGGATGGTCAAGGAGAGCTTGGATCGTAAGTTCGGGGCTCCTTTCAACGTCATCATCGGCGAGGCGTACAGCTACAGCGTCACGTACCAGGTGAAGTCGATGCTGCTCATCTACACAAATGGTAACGTGGCTGCTCTCATTTGGCGAACCGTTGTTGCCTGATACATTACTACACGTGGCTTGTCATACAAATAAGGCATACGTGCGAGGATTCGTTCGAGTAGTTATACATTTATTACCTCATTCAACGTAACACGTAGCTATCATATTATGTCGAATCGTGTATTTACATGGTTAATTAATGTACATCGAAGAAACATGTTGAAAATATATATCATCACGTTGATACAAAAAAGTAACGTCAAATACCTTTAATTATTAAAATTACAATTATTATTGCTACGCAACGAGTTTTAGGTGCAGAATGGAATACTTGTTCGGTAAAAGTTCTTCTTAATTGCATAAAAACCACTAATTTAGTGTACGTGAGTCATTTATAAATGCAATTTATATATACTTTTATGAATGGGCCCATAAATTTTTGTTGCATTGGTCAGGTGTACAGTTTTTTTGAAAATCGTTTCTTTCGAGTTTATGTACGAAAAAAAAAAAATTCTCAAATCCTTGTAAAGTATACGAATTCGAATTTGTGTACAAAAAATACGTGAAAAGAAATGAGTGAATCTAGTAACGTTACCACCACTACTATTCAAACTCTACAACAAATATTAAATACTATAAACATAATTAAACTCAAAGTTCAGTAATTAAATTATCTCACGGTTAATACTCATACGACTATTTTACCCATTCGTCTAACATACGTACTCAAAGCAAAAACAAAACCTCTACACCTGCGATATATTTTTCTCGATACTTTCAACTTTTATCCTTTTGGGGCGAGACATTTGTACTTTCTTCGGATTACGTATATTTTTATCATTGTAGGTATATATTTTTCTTTTATGTATACAATGTATGCTTTCTGTAAAAGAGTTTTCAAGGAGTACTTGTTTTGACACACTGCGCAAAGTTAATACGTACACGAGCGTTGGCACATTGCTGCGAGAAACGAATTTTCTAGCTTATACAATTCTCGTACACCGAGTGTAAAAAATACATATCATAACTTGCGAGAATCGCCATACATATTCGCTCACTCTCAAACCACAATTTTTTATTCCACAAAAGATGGCATCTCTGATTAATCACATGCACTTGCATTGTTGTAAAAGTGTACACTGCTATTAGTCAGGTAAGAAAAAGACGGTAAATTCGTTTGAATCGTCCCAGATATCCTTTTGTACGTCAATATTAGAATAATTATGCATATACGTAAGGCTGAATTTCAAGGCAAAATACAGAATGTCATTTCACATCTACTTTCTTAAAAAATAACTTACGCCCCTCCTACACTCACATATACTTGGGTGTTACCGCTTTAGTCGACGGAGTTTTTTTTGTTTCCATCGTACGTATTGAAAATAAAATTCAAGCAGACTTCCAGATGCAGATGGCAAGATTACCAGCGCAGTACATGTAGAGGAGGTGCTTGAGCTGGTAGGTGATCTCGAAACCGTAGCCCTCGCCGACGACGGTGTGCCAGGAGGCGCCGAATTTCCGGTCCATGGTCTCTTTGATCATCCGCGACACGGACTCGTAATTGTCCGCGTACTTTTCGGCCGCTGTGACGCACAGTTCCATCACCTCTTGCTTCATCTCGTCCGTCATGTCGCATTTCTGTGAAAACAGACACGCAAGCACGGTTTCATACTCACGGTTTGCATATCTTATTGTTTATTTATTTGTTTACATTATGCTTATACGTTTTAAACGAGTGTAAAATGCAGTTGGAATCTTTTTTTTTTTTGTGCGGGTTTACGAAATGGAAATGACGGTAATTTGAATGCCAATTGGATCAACTAACAAATCGATGTCGCGTGATTTACGAAACTTTGTTTTTTTCTTTTTTCGACGACAGCTCAGTGCCAAACTTTGGTATCTGTTCAACAGGGACACGCAGGAGGGCGTTTGATTTCTGCGATCTTACTTTTTTAGAACAAGAAAATCGATCGTGTTAGATTCGAAATAATTGTGTCTAGGTGCCAATTTGGGATATTTTTTTTTTTAATCAGTAAAAAAAATGTATGGCTGTTAACAAAAAACTGACTGTTGATTTCGTAAAAACCGTCTTTTCCTTTTTCGATATGAGTTCCGACACGAAAGATACCCGGATTCAGTCCAAGAAGATATTTGATGTTTCGATAATTGTTGTGAACTTGTTGCGGATATTGATCAAACTGTAGGGCCAAACTGTCGTTTGGGGTCACATAAACTTTGTCATTTTGTCGGATAATTGGAGTAATTTTAAAAATCACGCAACGTTTTATTAATGGCCGTACTAACTTTTACGAGCGTTCGTGTAAAATAATCAACAATAAATTATGTTTCATCTTGATTACAAAAAAAAAATGTATTACAGTTAGTACCTATACTTATACTAATAATGTGTATTTTGTCTTTAATTTAAAATAAAAAAGGAACAGTCATTTTTCTTCAAGCGATTTTTTATTTTCCCTCGGCCAGCTAGGAAGTAAAGATTTTTCTCCACACAACGGGGAGAGAAAGTTCCGATTGCTTTTAACGGAAAGGGCCGAAAAGATGATTTCCACCTCGTCCCCGCCCAATGTGAAATTTTACTATACCGCCGGAGCGTAGCGAAGCTTCCGGAAAGTACCGGAAAAATCGGCGAAAATAATAACGCATCCTAAGCATGCTTTGTACCCCTAAATGAGTAAAAAAAAAAAGAGTTAAAAAATGTACTTTTGCTTGGAAAAGTTGATAAAGAAAAAAAAAGAGCTGCAACCACTTGGAAAAAGCAAAGAGACAAGAGAACAGCTATGCACAATTATGTACACCCATAGATTCTCATCTCGCACACAAATGCATCTCTGTACCGTGTATGTACGACCGTATAGAAAAGAAATATAATATCGATCGGCTTGAGTTATTGCAGGGTACATGTGGGAGAAAATAACAAAGTCTATATACATGTATTGTCTTCTCTATATAATATCCACACGCACCCCCATCTCATCTCCGCAACACAACAACTGGAGAGACAAGGAGATAACAACAACAACAGCAACAACAACAGAATATACAAATACGATAACCGTGTGGTTCACCGAGACGGATTAATACATAAACAAATAAACAAAACGAAAAAAAAAAATCGTCACAAGTATAACCAATCAAGATTTATTATTATTTTATTTTGTTTTATTTTGTTTTTCCCCCAATATACTCACTCGACAGAGCGGATAAGTGTGGACGATCTTAACGACGTCGTCCTTCCGCACCTCGGTCATGCTCGTGTATTTTATCGTCCCAGCTGTACTGCATACAATATATACGCGTAAGTATACCGGCGTGTATGTCAACAAGTATAGAATAAATAAGTACGTATGTATGTATGTATGTAGGTTTTTTTTTTTTTTTTTTTTTTTTTTCAAACGAATTGTTGTCAAACACCGGGAGAAGATGACAAATTAAATGAACAATATATACAGCACCATCTACTGCGTACGATGCGCCGGCTGATACAAAATGTGTCCAAGCGATGCGCCCCGCTCTTATTTAGTTAAGCTTTCTATGTGAGCCAGAGATGTATACCTATAACGATGAGTCGGCGCGGGAGGCGCGTCGCGATGTCGCCGGCTTTACTTTTGTACATCTACATCCATACATCGCCTACACCTACACGTATACACATATATGTGCGTATTGGGGATGGGTAGGGTGGTAGGGGGTGGACAAGTCATCGAGGGGGTGGCGTTGAGCGAAGCAAGTGTATACTTGTTGTCTTGTATATATAGACGCACTTTCGTTTTCTTTTCGCGCGACGCGCAAGTGGGGTTGAATAGCGCACGTTCTACTTATATATTTGAGAGTGAATATAAGGGACGAGGGGATATTTTTTTTAACGCTTTGAAAAGATACATGATGTAGGGGTGTGTTTATGGTGTGCACGAAAAAATAACGAAAAAGGGGTTTTTCATGATAATTGGTCGATGAGCTACTGAGTTATTGAAGAGAATACTTACAAGTAATACTGATTTTATCCATAATCAAGTAACCATCATCAACGGATATGCACCCCGCTCAGTCTGACTGAATCGCTGGTTTACTACTTACTGTATAATGTTTAAGTAGTATAGGTATTACCCCCCCTGATACGAATTAAGTAGTAACAGCCAGACATTGACGAACCGACATATTTAGTACATTGGAAATAATAATTAACAAAATACACTGTCAGCCCCAATATTTATACATTCTTTTGTTAGTTACCTTATTAAATAAATCGTCTTAACACATGTCAATTTGAACAAGTTAAAATGATGGGTCCTATCTCTCTGATATCCCCATCATCTCCCCTCCACATACCAAATTTACACGCCACTATGCAGCAGAGTTACACACGATCACCTGCACTTGTGTCATTTCAAGCAGTCTGCTGATATCTGTACCAAGATCAACTCTGGATCAACAATTAATAATCCAAAGAATAGCAATCAGTCTATCAGTATCAAAAATATTTCAAAATTAAAACATCTATACTTACAAAACTTGCTCCGAAATAATTTAATGGTGAACAGCTGTAGACCAGTGTGACTCACTAGATGTAAAAAAAATGAAATTTAGCAAGTCAAAGTCAAAGGAACAGTTTTACAACTGTGATTGTTGATGTTATTGTTCTTTGCATAAATAGGTATATCAGTGACTTGGAATTAAGTAAATGAACATTTGACTAGTAAAAATATACAAAAGAAAATCATGGCCTCGAGGTTTAGTGGAGCACTGCAATTGACAAACTTAGATGACTTTATCACTCCCTCGCAGGTTAGAATAATAAAAATTGATCATCTGATTTATTAACACGCGTTTGTCTGGTGCCAACATTTTAATTATTAAATTGCATTTTTTTTTTTTTTTTTTAGGAATGCATCAAACCTGTAGAGATAAAAAAATCAAAGAACAAGCCAGGAACAAAGATAAAAATTCAGGATGATGGTTCCTATGCTGAAGTACTAGAGGTGGAATATTATCTTTGATGGTTTATTATCTACATTTTACGAGGTAAGTAGTGAGAGCACAAAGTAAATTATTGCCTTTTTTTCAGAGTGGCCCCATCAATAAATTGCAAAAAGTAGAGATAACATTGGCAGATTGTTTAGCTTGCAGTGGTTGTATAACGTCTGCCGAAAGTGTTCTTGTCACACAACAGAGTCAAGAAGAGCTTTTGCGAGTTTTCAAAGAAAAAACTGATAAGCAGAAGGTATACGTTGCTTATTTAACAAATAAACTAGTATGTAATCGTAATCATAATGGCAATCGTAAATACGGCATCATTTTTAGCTGGGAGAAGAAAACGTGAAATTCATAGTAATAAGTTTATCCGTACAGCCAGTACTATCTTTGGCTGAGAGGTATAATCTTACACCAGAACAGACTGTACTCAAGTTGGCTGGTTATTTTAAAAGTATGGGTGCTGATATGGTTTTAGACATGACAATTGCAGAGGACTTCTCATTGATTGAGTCTGCCAAGGAGTTTGTTGAAAGATTTAAAACAGCAGAAGAGGGTTCTAAAAATCAACTGCCAATGCTGGCTTCATCTTGCCCAGGTGAGTTATTTATACATTTTTTATCAAACGTACAGAAACTAATTTCCTTAAATTTTAGGATGGGTTTGTTATGCTGAGAAAACTCATGGGAATTTTATTTTACCGTACATAAGTGTTACAAAGTCTCCCCAGCAAATAATGGGATCACTTGTTAAATACCATTTAGCTAATATGAAAGGTATTTCTCCAGAACAAGTGTATCATGTGACACTAATGCCTTGTTATGATAAAAAACTAGAGGCATCAAGAGAAGACTTTTACAACAAACTGAAAGAAACCAGAGATGTAGACTGTGTAATTACTGCAAGTAAGTAAAAACTCACTAGAAAATTGATAAACTACAATAAAATTTTCTAACAAAAATTATCCAATAAAAAATATTTACAGTTGAACTGGAACAGATGCTGGTTCACCATGAAAAATCTTTGCATGATATTGAAGATCAAGAGATTGAAAAACCGTTTCAACATCAAAAGAAAGAAAATGATGAAGTTTTATTGGGTCACCAAGGCAGTGGTTCTGGTGGCTATGCAGATTTCATTTTTCACTATGCTGCCAAAACTTTATTCCAAGAAACAAATGTGAAATTAGAATTCAAAAATTTGAGAAATCCAGATTTTCAAGAAGCAGTCTTGGAAAAAGATGGTAAAGTTTTATTAAGGTTCGCCATAGCTAATGGATTTAGAAATATTCAAAATCTTGTGCAAAAGTTGAAACGCGGAAAAAGTCCTTATCACTACGTTGAAGTGATGGCGTGCCCAACAGGTAATAACTATTTTAAAATAAAATTTAATGACGCGACGATACAATTGTTTTTTATTGGTAGGTTGTTTAAATGGTGGAGCTCAAATTAGACCTCAAGATGGCACACAGCCGCGTGAACTAGCCCTCAAGCTTGAAACCGAATACTACAAACTTCCTAAAAGTAATCCCGAAGAAAATCAAGTTGTCAATGATTTATACAAATCATGGCTAGAGGGTGAAAACTCTGACAAGGCTACATCTTACCTTCTCACCAAGTATCACGAAATCGAAAAAATGAACGCAGCCATTTCTATAAAGTGGTAATTGTTAATTGAAATGTTTAGCATCAAAATTTCTTTTCTTCAATGTAAATAAGGTTTCAAATAAAATTGTTAAATATTTTGGGTGAAAAAAAATTACACTGTTAATATATTTCCATGTTACCTATGTTATTGATAAAAGTATTTACAAATATAACATGAACTTAGCGTAAAAATAATCTCTTGTTGTGGTAAAGTTCGTTGTTAAACGTCAGCACAACTCAACAAGTAATTTAATTGAATTAACTTTCAACTAAATAAGTAAACTTTTTCAGAATCACTTTTAAGAATCTAAAATGTTTCAATGTACTTCAAGTTAATTCATAAACATAATTTGGATAATTTAATTGTAAAAATAAACTCATCATTGTTGTCCTTTATACTTATTTCTTTTCGAATGTTATAAACACTTCCATTAAAAAATTTTATGTAATACAATTTTTAAACATTTCATAATATAAGTGTTCTTCATAGAAACATTGGTTATTTAAAAGTTGATAAATTATTTTGGAATCGTGAATTGTAAGCATATGAAGAAAAAGTTTACATTTGTCAAATGACAGTTATCACGGGTATGGTGTCAAATGTGCAGTCTTAAGCATTTTTATTGATCTTGACCTGTAGAAAGTTGTAATTCCAATTTGCTTTTCAACGTTGTGGTAAGAACTTACACTTCGGAAATCCCATTTATAATTTTTTTTCAGTTTGTTGTGGCATTTCGTCGTATTTCTGTGAGTTACGTTAGTAAGTATAAGCATAATTTAAGAATTTTCTAACAATGTGATAATTTATTTATAGTACTGTTTTGGTGATTGCTGGAGCAATTTAATTTAAGTAATAAAATATGTCATTAAAATAATCGTAATTTTAATCATATTTTGACTATCTAAGACTTTGGTTATTGCAAACGTTTTCAAATTCATTTGTTTTCTCTTGAGAGTTAACTACTGAATTTTCACTCGGAACGTCAAGTACTGTTTCTTCAATATATTTGTTTAATTTATCATCATCTTCATTTGAAGCATTTTCTTCACAGAATTCTGTTAGCCATTTTTGATTTTTTTCCACTTCACGGGTCACAACAATAAAAAGTTCTTTTTCTTTACTATCTAATTGTTCTCTCAGATACACTAACAATTCACAGTTCTGTAAGTTAAGTACTTATTATTGTCAACCGGCATAACTAAAAATTTGTATGACATGAAAAATACATACTTTTCCAATAAATTCAGGATACTCTATTTTAGAGTCCAAATTGTAAAAGGCATCATCAATCTTTTTAATGGCAATCCAATGCCTTCTTTTGAATGGTAATGACATAAAACCAAACTTGTATTCCGATGGCACATTTAAAATGAAGCCTTGAATATTATCAAGGCATAAACAGCTGGGATCTCTGTAAATGAGCAAGATTAAAACTAAAGTTCATCAAATGGTGATTAGTTAACAATCAACCGACCTTCTCTTGTCAAACCAAACAGCTTCGCAACCTCTTTTCTGCAATGCTGCCATAATCACATTTACATCATAATTACCAAGTCCAAGAGGTGACTTGTGTGGATTTATCCAAACATCAGGGGTCAAGTTGTAGCATATTTGGTCTAGTTCTTGCTTACTAAATCCTTTTTCTTGGAATAAATTGTTAAGTGCATGCAACGCACAGAGATCTCTCACCTTTAGGAATATTCTCATTAAAATCTTTTGTCATGTGCATGTGTATTAACTACTAAGCAAGAAAAAAATTCAAAAAATTGTAGTTCAAGTCAAATTAAACGAAAAATGAATCGAATTTACATTGACGATGAATTACAAAACATTATTAAAACCCGAAAAAAATTACCTGACGTTCGTGATAAATAGAGCTAGAACCAGCAGCTGTACACGCGACCATTGCACCAAAATCTACATCACTTGTATGAAAAAATATATCTTATCATCGACGACTCAAATTTACAGATAAAAATATAAATTTAAGGTGAGGCGTCAGGCGTGCCGATACTGCCGATAAACAGTGGCGACCTCGACATCATTCAATTGATGTTTTTATGATCTGGAGTGTTCAGTGTGTGCTGCAGGTAACCTAATATTATTCCGTTCCGTGCATTTACAGCGCAGCAGAGCAGACTGACAAGTATGACACAAACAGATCTATACATAAGTACCTGTATATATACATATATTTTACAGTGCCGTCAGCCGTAGGTAGACGAACTTACGAACCCATCATAATTACATTCAAAGAGAATACTGTAAACTTAAAATTTATGCATATACATACAATGGATCAAGTATAAAATTAAAAAATTATAAGAATTGAAATTTTTATTAAAAATTCCGTAAGATAAAATTATGAGCGAATAATTTTATTTACAATTGTAACGCCTAAGCGCGTCATGTAAAAATCTCATTTATCGTCTTACAAAGTAAGCAGATTCACACTTGATCATAAAAGTAATCATATATATAATAATGTGCATATTTTCATAAAACTTTGTTTGCTGTATATGTACGTGTAGCATGTATGCAAGTAAAAAAAAAAGTAAATATGTATGTATATTTTACATATATATTGAAGATTCAATAAGTTGATCTTGAGATGATTATTAACTTTTCTTGTACTCAATTCGTTCAACCTTCACTTCATCACCAACTAATTGATAGACGTACGTAACAACAGTAGAACTTTGAATGTCCATTAAAACAAATGAAGGAGTGACAGATCTGGAGAAAAACAAACAAATCATTAAAAGAAGGATTGACAAATGAGTAAGTATAATTTAATTAAACTATTCTTACGTGTCAAGTGGATTGTATGCTCCAGTTGCTGATCCAGGATTAATGTAAAACTTATTTTCATGCTCATAAGCTTCAAACTTGTGTGTGTGACCAGTTATCAAAATATCAACGTCTAGTTGTCTCTGGATCAAAGCCAATGCTTCTGGATCACCCCATGGGACTACTTGATGGCCATGAGATAATCCTATTCTGAATTGTCCTACTGTGACGACTTTTTGCTCTGGATAATTTAGATTCTAAAAATCAATTGTTAGTAATATAAACTATAGGGAAAAAATTTGGACCAAATAACAATTGTCACCTCATCAAAGTCTCCCCTCACAATGTGAACATCACTTGCCAAGGTTTTTAAATAATCATAAGACTCTTTTGTACAAAGATTCCCAGTGCACAATATGTGTTGTATCCTGCCGGGTACAAGAAGTTTCTTGAACTTACTTGGCAGGCTGCTGCATCGATGCGGAATGTGTAAGTCACCAAGAACTAGTACAAGCTGCAAAAATGTTCATTTGTGAATCAATTGTAAGTATAGGGATTGTCTTTTTGGAAAAAAAAAATTATTACTTAAAAAATAGATGTATCCATAAATCAGACCTGAGAGGTCTTATATCTATAATTTAATAAATCAAAAACGAAACCTATAGTAAAACCGAATAAACGATCAAACTTAAACAGTAGGTTATGATGAGCGTTTAGTTGACGCAAACACGCCCTAAAATACAAAATCTAGCTCACCATGACTGTCGTAGTTCGGCACTCGTTTATTAGTCGTAAAAATGATCCTCTCGCTAAAATCCACTAGCGGAATGCTAAAATATTAAGAGATCAATTCATTGGACTTGACAGAAAAGTTAAACAGCAGAAGTAAAATCTGCCAAAATTCTTTGGGGGATGAATGTGTATGTGCATATATATGCCACTATATATGTATATGTATAGCAGCATAAGCAACTGACTCAGCTGAGCGCTGAGCGGCTAAGTTGCAAACAAACAACGTCATCGAACGGTATTTGATAGGCTAATTGGCTAATTTGGATTTGGCAGTATGCCAAATAAGGAATTATAAAAAAAAGGATTTCGCTGCGCTGAAAATTTTCATTTTAAATTGTCGACAGTTTCGACGAGACTCAGACGAGAGTGAGATCGGCAGATCGCTGAGAGACAGTGAGTGAGAGAGTCTATTGAGAGAACATTGGCACCGCTAGATGGCGCCCATACACACAACTCAATTTTAAACATTTTTCAAAATTACTCTAAATTAGTATTTATTTGGCGTTATAAGTACCACGGCCTAAGTACGTAACTTAACTGCTGGCAGCATTTGCATGTTGGCAGCGTTTGCGGATAAAAATAATACTTATCAGTCGTTTTTGTTGATAGCCGTGCCGCGCGTTTTCCAGTTTTTAAAACATTTTGTGACAACTTGTGATATGGATGATTTCATCTCTGAATGTTTTTTCCCAAATATTAAATAACATAATTATTGCTTCTTATTTTATGTAGTTGTTTCTAACATCAGTGTAACGAAATAGACGTAGTGAAAATGAAGTGTATTGTGTCAGGCGGAAATATTAAAAGTGCGTAAAGTTTCATTTTTGTTTTAGGTTATAGTATTATTTGTTAATTTTTTAAATATTTAACTATCAAATCATGTGGATTTGCTTGAGTGATAATTTTATAAAAAAAAGATTGTTATGAGTTACCGAATCTTGTTTTAGTTTTGGCTCGAGCCGTACAGATGCTCTCGAAAATTGGCGATGAAATGTTTGTACAGCCACAAGAGGATTGTTTGTCTTTTCGATCTGTCAACGGTACAAATTCGGCCTATGTCGATGTGACTTTTCAAGAAAATTATTTTTCTTACTATGCCTACGAAGATTTGGAAAGGACTGATGCGCTCAGGTGCAAAATTCTCATTAGGGTAAGCTGTGAAATTTTCACATTAGAGATATTAAGATGCATTGTAGCCACTTGCTCTTTTTGCTTTTTTTTTAGAGTGCATTAGCAGTATTTAAGTCACCAAGTTTAATAGACAAGCAAGTGGAATCTTGTCATATACAACTGGAGGAAGACTCTGAAAAATTGTGTTTCATAGTGAAGTACAAAAATAGTGTTATAAAAACTCATTTGCTGCCAATACTTGATTGTGAGACAATAAGAGTACGTTAACTTTTGTTTTTTATGGTTTATTTTATTCGCAGTTTAATTAATTGATTGTCTTATCTTAAAGGCAAATTACAAAAAAGATGGCACAGCAAATAATTTGTGTATACAGCCACGTGTTATGAACGATATTGTTCAAAATTTTCAACAAGGGCTTTTGGAAATAACCGTAGAAGTACTGCAGGATAAAGTCCTTATTAGGAATTATATTGATGAAACTTCAAGTAATTATCATTTAATGAAAATTAAAAATGAGTTACTTCAATGAGTTTCAAAGTAAAAATGAAGTCAAATGAATTGTTTTTAGATGTATCTAATGAAACGCGCACGCAACTTGTGTTTGGAGCTCGAGAATTTGACAAATATGCAATTGAGTCTGACACGGTGATCACATTTTGTTTAAAAGAATTAAGGGCAATCTTATGTTTTTCAGAAGCTTTAGGGCAGCCTATCGAAATAAATTTTGACAAGCCGGGAAAGTAAGTATTTAAAAACATTTTTCCAAGTATGTATGTCAAATCATTATTTAACGACAGCTTTTCCAGGCCAGTTGTGTTTGTGTGCAAATCGTCATCACTAGAAACAAATTTAGTTCTTGCTACGTTAAATCCAGATACTGATAGTGCATCACAAAGTACTGTATCTACAAGGCGAAACCCAGTGCCAAAGAAAGCTCCAAAAAAAGCCCCTGCCAAAGCCAAGCAAGGGATCAAGTCGTTAAGTAAGAAATCATTTGATGCAAGTAGAGTCAATAACAATTCATTAAATACATCAGAAGTTAGAAATACTGAATCAGTAGGTAGAATTAGTGACGTGACTGACTCGCCATCTCAGAGAAATGGAAAAGATTCAGGATCGTCATCTAAAACTTGCACTCCGGTACCAAGGAATACTAATACAGAAGGGAGTGAGAAAACAGTGAAGGATGCATTTGCATTTTTGAAGCGAAAATCAGAGGAAACTGCACAAAATCCAAATGACAAGGATGAAGATGATTTCGTTCGAAACTCGCCACCAAGACAACTTTCAAAAAAAGCAAAGATGATATTCAAAAAGTGTTTCCAATCAACGTTTGATCCAAAAATGATTCCTGGCTACAATCAAGTTGAAGTTGAAGATTCTGAAGAGGAAGATGATCAATATGAGTAATTTTAAACTCAGATTTTATGTACAATAATATTGGGAAGTTGTTCATTCCAAACATCATGTTACATTTACGAGCCAACACAAGCCGCTAAATGACTTACTATAAAAGATAGAAACAGTTTGTCAACAAACTGTGTGAAACCTATAAATTTGTTGAAAATAATTATTTTTCTTTGTAAATAAATAGTTTTTTACAAAAACATTCTTTTTTAATAAATTACAAATTTGAATTCTTGTCCCATCTCCGCCTCTCTCTTCCTTTCCCCCTCTCTGTGTGTTGATCACGTGGTACTTTATGCTCGTGTGTGCCATATATGTGTGTGTATGAGCGCGCGGCACGAAAGTTGTCTGCTCCACAGCGATAATAATAAGTTTTGAAAACAAACAAACCAGACCTGCATTGCATAAAATAAAAGATTTTGGCACTGGCAAGCGCATGATGTGCATCATTTTGTTACCTTCAAACGTCCTGCGTGTTGCCGACCCTAAATAAAAAGAGCACACCCTTACCTCGCAAATTTAAAGGTCGACCCATCAACTCTTGTTGTAACCCAACCATTAGCAAATTAGCACACATTACTCATCAGTCTGGGCTTTTTCCTGCGGAACACGTGAAAAATGTCATCGTGGCGAGGATTAATGAAGTTGTCCTCGGTCACGGGAGCAGGACTCGCCGGCTGGTTCGCGGGCAAACATTACGAGCGTCACGTTGTCGGTGTCGAGCATCAGCCTCGGCGCTCGTCGTTTCTATCCGCTGCCAATGTCAAGAGCATGCCGGGTCTGCCGATTTTCGGCAGCGTGTCCGCGGCCTCGCCCCTGCCTCCGACAGATTCGAATACCGTCGACGTCGACCACAACAACATGGGATCCAAACTGTCCACCACTGGATCCAGGCTCAGCCAAGTATGTCACTGCATTTCTTTATTTGTTTGTTACTGCAACTTGAAGGTACTGTTAGAAGTTTTTGCTTTTCTCAATCTGAGCTTCTGTAGGTCTTGTTTTACTTGAATGTTAATTTATTAGCATGTTAATCTCTCGACATTTTTTTCGTGTAAAAGTACCTTTTTGCTGCACGATCAAGCTACAAGCATACATGATATGTGTCATTATTCACGTTTGTGCTACTCATTTGTCATGAAACTGAATCTAACTGCTAAACGTCTTTGTGTACTTTCTAAACTAGACGTTGTCCTCTACAAATTTAGTAAACTGTAAGGGTACATGGACTCGTTGAAGGAGGTAGAATTGGGTAGGATATGTTGGCTAGGATTCAGTTTCATTCATTTAACGCTTTGGTATAGCAAGAGTTCCTTATAAGTCGGTGAATTCTACAAAAATTAATATAAAGTTGTTTTGTTGTCACCGTCCACAGATAATGAAATACGGATTTCCAGGGTTGGATCAGGTGAGGTCCTATGATGATTTCGTTCTGTCATACGACAGAAGAAATAGAGTGGCTCATTGGGTGTTTGAACATCTCTCTCAAGAGAGATTAAACACGAACAAGAATATCGACAGGTCAAAGTGTGAATTTGTACCTGACCCCAGCATTCATCCTTTCTTTCGGTATTTTGTTTGATTTCTTTTTTTTTTTTATATCAGTTTTCATAAACAATTTTTTGAGTACAGATTCCTTGCCTTTTTAGATCTGATAACAGAGACTACAAACGAAGCGGATACGACAGGGGACACTTGGCAGCAGCTGGAAATCACAAAATGGATCAAAAGCACATACAACAGACGTTTTACTTGACAAACATGGCGCCACAAGTTGGAGTGGGCTTCAACAGGGATTCTTGGAACAGGCTGGAAATATACGTGAGGAAACTGACAAAGATATACAAAGACGTGTACGTCTGCACAGGACCCCTATACTTGCCAAAGTACGTGAAATCAATCGTTGATTAAAATTTTTTTTGAAATTCTAATCACTGTACAATTGAATGTGTAGACTTGAACCAGATGGAAAAAAATACGTCAAATACGAAGTTATTGGTGCCAATCATGTAGCTGTACCAACACATTTTTACAAAATTGTTGTTGGAGAAACTTCTGACGCGAAATTAGAAATGGAGGCGTTTGTTATGCCAAATGCCCCAATTGACAATGATGCTCCACTTGAGAACTTTAGAGTAAGAACCATTTTTTTATGGATTTCTTAACAAATTATCAAATTTTTTAAATAATAATATAATTGTTTTTTCAGGTGCCACCAGAAAGTGTAGAAAGAGCAGCAGGATTATTGTTCTTTGACAAGGTAGCGAGAAATAAGTTACACAAAATCAATGGCAAAAAAGTAAGTTGAAATATAAATCTGACTCAAGTGATTCTACTCGAATATGTAAATATAAGTAGTGAAGAAAAATTTTAGCCAATTACAAAAAAAAAAAAAAAAAAAAAAAAATAGTCTAATATTTTAAAGTTTTTTATCACGTAACTCATCAACATTTTTGTTAATCAGAATTACGTGGGTAATTTTTGGAAATTCAAAGTAACTAGTGCAATTTATATGTAAATACTAGGAAAATGAATTATGTGCATAAGTTGTTGATAATGAATCTTTATGTTTTTCGCTTGTACACTTGCATAACTTATTCATAAAAAATCTCAAAATCGATTGATGCATCTATTAAAAAGAACAAATATTTAATTTCATTTATTGAGCAACGAGTTGTTATTACACCCTAAAATCTCAGTCTTGCTAAAAATCGTAAAAGATAATGGTGAAACTGCTCCCGCAAAAAGATCGCATAAAATTCGTTTGAATAAAAAGTCGAAAAAATTTATCTAAAATTCACGCTAACATCGACACATTTTTTATTAAGTATAGTAAAAATCTCGTTTTATCATTAACGCATGATCTTCGCAAATATATTTTGTTTATTGACGAACATTTATGCTCGGCGACTGTACTTTGGTTGTGTCGGTACACATAAATATTATATAATACATAATTAAATTCGAGTGTTGTATTTAGTGTTACATAATACGTATAAATACTATCTACTCTCATAAAAAATTCTTAATTTTTAAAAAGCATTAATAATTTTTACTCTGAAATAACATACAACTTACATACTAAACTATGTACAAAATTAACAATTAGGACCGCATGTTAACGAATCACATTAAATAATGAGTTCGTAAACTTTTTGTCCATAGATACACAAGAGAATCGCATGCAATAGCATATGATTTGTTGAGACATTGTCATAATTATACCTCAACCTCTTGATTGACAAACAAATTACTTCTTGAGATCTCGCTATTGAAGTCGAAAATGATATCGATATTTGCAGATAAAAAACACATTGTGGTAATAATTATAAGTATGTACTTTTCGCTTACATTTAAATATTTTTTAGGCACTAAGTGGACGGGTCTTTATTAGTATTATTATTATTATTTTTTTTTTTTCAATCAATGCCTCTTACACAGACAGTGAGCAAGTTTAAGTACACTTGAAAAAATTATCCCTGCACGAAGGCAGAAACTTGTGTCAACGTCACAGTCGAGTGGAATGTAAAATTTTACTTTACAGAAGAATTTTAACATAAAATCTCTTTTGCCAGTAAAAACGTCAGTCTCATGTAATATTATACCCTTTGTGTTTTATACATGAACATCATAGAAAAATCGTTCTGCAAATAATATTTAAATTTAACGATAAGATTACATTTAATTCACACTTTCTTTTTCGACAAGTGTGTGTATGTGTGTCTATCTACTATACGCGTTATAAAGGATTCGATCGGCGCCATGCACTATCGGTGCACTTTTTCTAACGTGTCAAAACCGTGCTCGTACTTAAGCGAGAAACATCTCTGGATTTCTCTTAATCGACCAAAAATATAAACTAATAATAAGAAAAACGTCCTATTGAGCGTCCTACTTCGATCTGTACAATGATTTTACCCGAAAAAACTCATCCCGAGTTACGGGCCCTTGATACATTTGTACGCGACAAGTCGACGAAAGGGACTAGGATGAATCATTCGAACGGAAAACTCGTGACGATATCCCGACGCTCTTAGATCAACCTCTCCTCGGGGGGTGGCTTCATAACGTTGTCCATCTCAACCCGTGGATTACTAAATTCTTGGGCCGATGGACTGTAAGTGCCTCTCGTCGCTCGTTTCTTGCGCGCCATCATGAAGAACGCGATCAGCGAGCCGGCTGCTATGATGAACAACACCGCGAGCACAGGACCGACAAACTTCATGACGTGGGCAACTTGACTTCCCAACGAGCGCTGCGACTGCAAAGAAAATCCATAAGTTTCGCCGTCTCGTGATCGGTATACACTTAACTTTATGTAATAAAAGAGGAAAAAGACCGTTACCTCGGTACAGTTCTGGCCGCTGTAACCGGTCGGACAGACGCACCAGTAAAGCTCGCCCGTTCCGTTACCGCAGTGGCAAGTGCCACCATTTTGACAGTAATGTTCTTGGCAGAGGTCAACCATCGTGCAGGTGAGTCCGCAGTAGCCGGGATCGCAGAAGCAACGATAACTCCCGGCCGTGTTGTTGCACGTGCCGTAGCCGCAGTCGTTCAGGTGTTGGTTGTCGCACTCGTTGATGTCCTCGTCGCAGGTTGGTCCGGTGTAGCCGGTGCCGACGCAGTCGCAGGTGAAACTGTTGACACCGTCGTGACAGCGGCCGTTGTTGTTGCAGGGCAGTTTGCCCTCGGCGTCCGGCGCGCAATCGTCGATGTTCGTCTCGCAGTACTTGCCCGTGTAACCAGCCGGGCACGAACAGTACGGCGTCTGAAACGATCACCATTTATTTTTAATGTTTTGTAAGAGCCACAATCATCCGTACCGCTCACCTCTTACTATTTTATTCACAAAAAATGTCTATCGTCTATACGATTCAGTGGATATCAAATAGGTGCACAGTCCACAGTCCCGAAACGCACTGCTGTTGCAATCACCGGATTCAACGCATAATTATATTATTATCTCATCCATTTCGAGTTAAACGACTTAATAATTAAGCGAGAAAGCGGGTAGTCACAGTTAACACGTATGAGTATCTAAATGTATGTGTACTTTACCATAAATTACCAAAAATCTACACCACATCATGATTGATGCGTTGCATTTTTTCTTTATTTTTACAGATGAGAGAGGAGAGGAAAAAAAAAAAGATGAATTCACTCGGTGCGCGTATTTGATGTTGCGTCGATTACGGCTCTTCTTATCTGAGGCACGCGCGTGTCAATAAGTGGGTGTGTATATATAAAAACCCAATTATTGAGATAAGAAACGCAGAGTAGAGGAGCTTTTATTATCTGTACAATAGTATTTCCCGAGCATAATTCCGACGTAAAGGCTCGCATGTACAGCACGCGTTATTTCTCCATAAAATAGTTTAAAAAAACACACACACACACACACTTTGTCTCTATTAGAAAGCCCAAAAGACGCACCTGATTGTCGTGGTACAAGCAGTCACCGGAGTTCTGGCACTTTCTGACCTCGCAGTAGGGCTTATCGCACAGCGTGTCCTCGTAGCCGGGCATGCACGCGCACGTGAAATTGTCGGCCGTCCTGAGGTTGACGACGTCAGCGCAAGTCGAGCCGTTCCGACAAGGTTGATCGGCGCAGGTGATCTGCCTGAAGTTGTCGCAGAGCTCGCCAGTGTACTTGTCCGAGCAGTTGCAGCGGAACGAGCCCTCGAGGTTTATGCAGACGCCGTCGTGCTGGCAGGGCCCGATCGTCGCGCACTCGTCCACGTCCTTGTTGCACCTGGGAAACCGAATTCAACCGGTGTATAATGTTCAAGTGTCGAGTGCTGTTATAATGAGAGTCGAGAGCGATATATGTTTTCGTGTGCTCGCTTCGTCTGACGTCGACGCCTAGAACAACGACGGCGATGCGATAAGATATACATTTAAAGGAAAACGGGGCTGATGCATGATGCGATGTGGCGAAAGTTACCCGATTAGATTGGACTATGTTCTATTGAACGCTATCGGTTATATCCAAGTACACGTATTATGTCGGTCGATTGGTATGTCAATTGTGCCCCCAAAAACAACAGTGATTACGTTACGAGTACGCGAGATAAACATTTTTGTCAATTTTATTGTATTTCGGAAGGCTCGTAACAATCTTGAGCTAAAAGTGAGTACAGATATCGTAATGACAGTATACGTGTATACTAATGATTTTCCGTGTGGTGATAAGTGGCGTTAATACCATTCAATGTAAGTGACTCACGCTAATTGGTACAACAATAGCTATATATTAAAATATATACGTAGCGACGCTCGTCACGGTTAATCGGGACGAATGAAGATGTGAGTACGCGCGACTATGTATTATCATCGTGTAAATTAAAAATAAAGTTAAAATAGATGAGAAAAAACTCACAGCCATCCTTGCCAGGCGGAATCACAGTTGCAGGTGTAATTGGCGACGCCGTCGACGCAAGTGGAATTGTGGGCGCACTTGTTTTTCTGGCACTCGTCGATGTCGATCGCGCAGTCGTCCTCGGCGTAACCGGCCGGGCACTCGCACACGTAACTATTGAACCGATCGAGACAGTGACCCCCGTTTTTGCAGCTGCTCTCGAAGCACAGCCGACAGCCTATCCTGTCGCTTAGGCTCGACGCGTCGTCGTCCTGCGGCTGTAGGGCCAAGAACTCCAGGGGCGTGAAGTTCGCGTTCTGGTAGACCTCCTCGTAAGTGAAGTAGTGCAGCAACATGCTGCCGATCCTCACCTCGCCCAGGCAGCCCTTGTACGCTTCTCCTGTACGCGCGAGGTGCACATTATTACAAAAATTATTTATTATTATTATTATTATTATTATTATTATTTTTTTTTTTTCCAAACAAGAGACAATGTAAATCCATACGTGTATGTATCGCGGACACTTACCGGACATGATGCTGTGGGGCGGTGGTGCGGTGGTGAGCTTGCGATCGGCAAAGTCGACCGAGTTCCCGTAGATACCACCGTCCCTGCTCTCGATGTGCCGCTCGGTGCCGATGGTCAGATAACTGTGTATGTCGGAGATCGGGCCACCGAGGCCGCCCAGCGTCACGCTTCCCGTGACCAGTAGGTCGTACCAGGCCGCATAATGAAAGTTGACGCTCGACTGGGGCACGAAATCGTCGTTGGCGTCGTCGTACGTGCACTCGATCGAGTCGTTGTTGAGCTTAATGAGTATCGTCGTCCAGTTGCCGTCGGGCTCGGGTTTGCCGAACGCGAGGACGCCGGTGTTCACGTTGTCGAGCTTCCACGCGACCGTCACCCTGTCCTCGAACACGGACACGGTGAAGTGAGCCTTGCCCGATCTCGGGGCGATGTGCATGAGGGTGCCACCGGTGTTCGATCGGTAAGCTATCTTGATCAAACTGTCCGAGTCGGAGTAGGAGGAGGAGTAGTTTGCCAGCTCCGGGTGATTAGTGTATACGTAGGTGAAGGACGTGCTGTGACCGTCGAAGGTCGCGTTGGCCATGCACTCGTAGCCGTCGTCGAGGTTCTGGCACTTTGAGCCACTCGGGCAGTCCTGCAGCTGGCAGAACTCCATCTCCTGGCAGGTCTTGCCCGTGTAGCCGCGTGGACACTGACACCAAAAATCGTTCCAGGTCACGTGGCACGTGCCGTTGTGGAAACACGGGCTCGAGGCGCACACGTCGTCCGACACGACTCCCTCGAGCACCTTCTCCGGGTCAAAGGTCACGGTGCCGAATTGCACGAGGGTCGGAATACCCTTTTCCTTCAGCGGGTAGAACTCGACGACCATAGTGTCGACGCCGTTCGACACCTGGACGTCCTGAATCACGCCCTTGAAGTTCGTCGGGGGCTTGACGATTTGCTCGCTCGCTGCCTCAGCCAGCCTAATACTGTCCACCTGTCGGTTGTACCTGGTCGTGGCCTGGGGTAGCCCACCGAGGTAGAGTACCGTGACGTTGAGCTGACCGCTGGCGCTGATGGTCTTTCTAAAGTACTCCGTACCGTTGATCTTGACCTGGACGAGGGTGACGTTTCGGATCACTTGGATGAGGTGGCTGTTGCCGTCGTTGAGCTTGACACCGCCCACGGTGTAGGCCTCGGTGCCGTTGAATTGGATGCGCACGAGGAGCTCGCCACCCTCGAGCTGGGCGGCTATGAAGGTACGGTCCTTTATGATCGTGTCGGAGGGCAGGAGCGAGGGACTCGGCTCGGAGCCAAGGTAGAATATGTCACCGTGGTCCTCGCGGGTGCGTATGAACATGGAGATGTCGACGATCGAGCGAACGGCCCGCCGGGCTGCGTCGGCCACCTTGACGCTCACGTAGCCGTTGGTAATGTTCTCGTAGCCAAAGGTCGCGGCGGTCATGTTGTACTGGCAGGTGGAGCCGAGGTAGGGGCGCTCGCACTCGCACGAGAAGTCGCGCCAGAGATCGGTGCAGTAGCCGTTGTTCTGGCAGGGATTTGGCGAGCACTGTTCCTCGCGGTGGCAGCCCGACTCGACGTTCAGCATCTCGACGTGACGCGACGTGCTGCTCCCGGCGTAGATCCACTCGCCGTTAATAATCACGTCCTCGGTGCAGCCCACAAAGAACGGCGTGCCGGACAGGAGTTTCTTTAGGTTGATGAGGGTGCTGCCGATGTAGGTCGTCGGGAAGGAGGTGTGCATCGCCGTAGCGCCCTCGGTCAGGTTGATCGGGTAGATGGACTGTTCCTCGTTGGCCGAGAGCACGAGGTGCGTCGCGTTTATGGCCACAAAGACCTTGTGCCAGTTCGAATCGTTGAGCCCGGCCCCGATGTACACGCCGTTCCACTTGTTCAGAAGACTCGAGTGCAAGTTTAACTTGCCGCCGTTCAACTTGAGGATGTAGTAGGTCGGACCCGTGCCGATGGCCAGGAGACCGTCCGGCAGAGTCGTCCGGAAGCGAAACTGGATGTCGTAGCCCTCCTCGCGGCTTGTGTTCACGGTCACGAGGGAACTGCCGCTCAGCGATATCGTCGTTACCTGAGGATGACGAACACGATATATGGATCATCGATCTTTCGAGGATCATCGCGTCTGCGTTTATCGAGGATACGTAATTTATAGGATCAAGGGATATTGTTAGTGCCACCCACCTTTTTCTGTCTCGTGGTTTAAGTGCGCGGTTGCACGATTAGCGTGAAAAACATGCAAGCAATTATAGGTGTGTGTTAAACAATGGTCATCAATGGGTGCAGCTGATATTATTATTATTATTATTATTATTATTATTATTACATCGATAGCGTATACACATATGTACACCAGTGTCCGGTCGGTTGGTTAGTTTTTTTTTTTTTTTTTTTTTTTTTTTGTTTTTTTTTTTTTTTTTTTTTTTTTTGTGAATGATACTTGTTGTTGTGTATAGTTATTGGGCTTGAATTTATTATTTGGTGATAAGCAATGGACATTGTTGGTGAAAAAGGATGATCGAGTCGACTCACGTGATCGCATATCTCGCCGTGGAAGCCGTTCGGACAGGTGCAGTTGAACTTGTGCTCGGTCTCGTCGACGAGGTAGGGCCGGCAGGTGCCGTTGTTCATGCAAGCGTTGCCCTGACAGCCGATCAACGGCACCGAGCAATTCTTGCCGCCGTAGAGGGGCTCGCAGCTGCACAAATAATCGGCCCGCCGGTCGAAGCACGCGCCGTGCTCGCAGGGATCGTACCTCTTGCACTCGTCAATGTCGATCTGGCAGTGCTCGCCCTCGAAGCCCTCGTTGCACTCGCACGTGTAACCACCGATCTTGTCCATGCAGACCCCTTCGAGGCACGGATTGCTCTCGCACTCGTTTATGTTGATCTCGCAGTTCTTACCCGTCACTCCGGCCACGCAGATGCACTCGTAACTGCACACACACACACACACAGACCGCATTTATGTATTGGGGAAATAAAAGAAGAAGCAGAAAAAGAAAGAAACACCCACCCGCTCGAGTTGGCGTAGGTAAACTCCTGCATGAACACCGCCGGTTTGTTCATCACGTCCTCCTTGTAGAGCGCGGCGTTGGATCTCTCGAGGCAGGTGCCGTTGAACTGGCAGGGCGAGCTCTCGCACTCGTTGACGTCGATCTGGCAGTTTTTGCCGGTGTAGCCCTCGTAACACCGGCACTTGTAAGCCTTGATCTCGTCGACGCACTCGGCCCCGTTGACGCACGGCTGGGCGAGACAATCGTCGATGTTGTTCTCGCAGTGCTCGCCCTCGAAGCCCGTGTCCGCGCAGTCGCAGGCGTACGAGTTGACCCCGTCGATGCACCTGCCCTGGTTCTGGCACGGCTGGGACTCGCAATCGTCGATGTTGGTCTCGCAATCGTAACCCGTGAAACCGAGGGCGCACAGGCACGTGTACTTGGCTATCTCGTCCCTGCACGTGGCCCCGTTCCGGCACGGCGAGCTCGCGCACTCGTCCACGTCCTGGTCGCACACCTTGCCGGCGTAACCCGGCGGGCACACGCACTCGAAGCCGTTGATCTTGTCGATGCAGCTCGCTTGGTTCTTGCACGGGCTGCTCAGGCACTCGTCTATGTTAGCGTCGCACAGGTCACCCGAGTAGCCCGGCGTGCAAAAGCAGTTGTAACTGCCCTTGTTGTTCACGCAGATCCCGTGCACGCAAATGGCCTTGTCCGATATCTTGCACTCGTCAATGTCCTCGTCGCAATTGGCCCCTACAGCAATGACAAACGCATATTGGACGAATGAAGATATATGTCGTAAAAGACAATTAATATGGTTTACCGGTAAGTCCAGGGGCGCACTCGCACCGGTAACTCCCGTCGGCTACCTCGTGGCAGGTGCTGTTGTTGCCGCAGGGCTTGCCGGCGCACGGGTCAATGATGAGGGTGCAATTGGGCTCCTTGTAGCCGTCCCTGCACCTGCACTCGTAGCTGTTGACCCCGTCGACGCACACGCGATCGTCACCGCACACGACCCCGGCGCACTCGTCGACGTCGACGTCGCAGAGTTTGCCCTCGAAGCCGGCCGGGCACTCGCACAAAAATTCGCGCTTCGACTTGGAGCTGAGGACGCAGCTCGCGTTGTTCGTGCAAGGATTCAGGGCACACGCGTCGTACTCGCGCTCGCAGTTGTCGCCCATGTACTCGCGGGTGCAGTTGCAGCTGTAGCCGTTCGGACGGTCGACGCAGGTACCGCCGTTCTGACACGGCTGGGATTGACACTCGTCCACGTTCACTTGGCAGTTCTTACCTGTACGTATAAGCACGCGCGTTACAATTTTCGTGTGTAAATCGGCAAGGTTTTTCTTTGGAAAACTGTACGCGATCTCGATGTACAAATGTACGGGAATGTCCTCGTGTATTTGTTTGAAAGGCAAAGAAAAATTGAGAATGTTCCAGTTTGGGGAGGTCCCGTTAACGGTTTACAAACTCAGTAAATTATTATCGAGCATATAAGCTGGGGCACGGGTCGATTGTTGACTTATATAAATCTTACATTGATAATATATTATACTTGACGCTCGAAAATTCGATTGACAAGGTAAGGCCGAAAAAACATTAAACTATACTTAAATATTAGCCACAGAATAAACATATGATTAGTATTAGCAGCATGCACATTTAACACTTGCATAAAAAAAAAAAAAAAAAAAAAATCACATAGTCAATGAAAACAAACATCAAAGCAAAAAACACCCACACTCAACATTTAGAAAACACAAAAATGAAATAGTGCAAGCACGAAGAAAAAAAACAAAAAACAAAAAAAAAAAAAAAAAAAACGAAATGCACAGCTGAAAAGGCATTAACGACCAAAGATTAATCAAAGCGAGCATGTACATGTGCGGGCACGCGTTTTTACGGCTACGCAATAAGCTACTATATGCTAGCACCGCAGCATACAACGTGTATTAAGGTTTACGGGCGCTCGTTAAGGTCGTTCCCGGCTCGTGTAAATGTCAACCAAGACGCGCTTCAGATGTGCTAACTATTTCACTCGTGTGACCCCGTAAGCCCACTACGTACTAATATTGCATACCAGTTTGTTGTATATATCGTGCCTTCCTCTCTCTCTATCTGCGAATGTGTCGGGTGCATTTGTGACAAAATAATCCCCCCCCCTCCCCCGTCTCGTTGAGCTTGGGGTTATTTCGGGTTTCAGGTGATGAGCCGTCACCGGTGACTGATGGTTTTTTCTTTCCGTCCATCGGACGATGTAATACGTGCCAATTAGTGCCGTTGCTTCGGGAGACGAGAGAATTTTTTAATTTTCGCCGAGTGCGCCGAGTCTCGTTTCCAGAGGAAGAATCACGCTTTCTTTCTTTTTCTCCTCCTCGTGGACCTATTTTTCTTTTCTTCCCTTTTTTTTGTTCACCAGNGTATATACTTGTTTTTGCTTCCGCGATACCATGTCAATTCTTGGCAACCATATAGTATGTACACGCAATAACTCACGTTCAAGTGGAAATGGGCATCGGCTAGTTGGTTTTGCAGTTGTTTTATGCGAAGCATTTTAGCCGACGAAACGCGTTGGTCTATTGCGCTTATTACAGGCGGCTTGGCAGTGTCGGGTGGGTTAAATCGCGTGACGTTGGTGTAAGGACTAGATCCGGCTGAAAATTTTTTTTTTTTTTTTTTTTTTTTTTCGTGCACGCAAACGAAAATACAACAAAACACACGTTTTAACACATGATGATTATTTTTACAAACGTTGCTGCCAAAGTTTCATGCTTTCCCAATTTCTTTTAATACACATTTTCAACATAGACGTGCAAACAAACAAAAAAAAAAAAAATTATCGTGTGATAACAAGTGAGACATGAAAATGGTAATAAAAAAAATGTGATGATTACATGCAGAATTTATGTGTACGAGAACTGAAGAGAGAGGTATACAATTAGGTACACGTAAATAAAGTAAGTTGTACGTAAGTAATTGCAAATACTTTCCATGTGTTGTGTTATAGACACTAATGGTAAATAGAAAAATGGAAAAACTTGTTGACGGAATACCAAGACACACTCTGTGCATGCATTTCAGAACGACAACACCCACCGTCACCAACAACAGCACGAAGAAGAAGCCGGGACTCACCTTTCCACTCTGGCTGGCAGAGGCACTCGTACTTGTCCCGATGATTGACGCAAGTGGCCCCGTTGGCGCACGGTCCACCGGAGCAGTGGTTGAGGGTACAGTTGGGCGGTGAACCAACGTGGCCGGGTTTGCACACGCAGTGCGCCCCTCCGTGGGGCTCTCGGGCGCACACCCCGTTAGCCGCGGCGCAACTGGGACTCTCGCAACCGGGAGGTGGCAACGCCACCGCGGTAACGCTGACGGTGCGCTGGGCCGGCTGGTCGCAGTGATCGCCGGCGAAGCCGGTACCGGTACAATTGCACCGGTAACTGCCGACCTCGTCGATGCACCGGCCACCGTTCTTACACGGCTCGGCGAGGCACTCGTTTATGTTCAGCTCGCAATTGAGGCCCTCGAAGCCCCGCGGGCAGACGCACACGTAGCCCCCGTAATTGTTGTAACAGATGCCGTCGCTCAGGCACGGGTTGTTCTCGCACTCGTCTATGTCGATCTCGCAGCTCGGGCCCCTGTACCTATATTCAACATATTATCCCAAGCAATTAACACGCGTGACGTGAAATGATGTGGCTCCCATCGTGTGGGGCACACTCGACTCACCCGGTGCGGTCGCACTTGCAAACGTAGCCGTTGACGAGGTCGGTGCAGTTGCCGTCGTTCTTGCACGGTCGGGAGGCGCACTCGTCGACGTCGAGCTCGCAGTGCCTGCCCGTCCAGCCGGGCCTGCAGTCGCACCGGTAGTCACCGTCGGCCAACTCGGTGCAGCTGGCCTCGTTGCGGCATGGGTTGCTGGTCTCGCAGATGCGGGAGCCGGCCAGCGCCTCGCACCGCATGCCCACGAAACCCGGCGCGCACTGGCAACTGAAATCCCCGTGCTGGTCCTCGGCGCAGCTGCCCCCGTTGCGGCACGGGTTGTTTATGCACGGCGAACCTGTCATTTTTTTGTTCTTTGTTCATTGTTACATGACGAGATACTCGCATACTTTGGTGATTGTTTCACACAGGGATTCATTCGAGGAGAGGAGATTCCCTTTTTGTTACTTTCAATTGTTCGTCCCTCTGGAGAAGATGAGGCGTTTTAACCCATACACATGGAGAGGATTAATCACGAAAGTGTTAACATTAGTTTGATGCCTGGTTTGTTATGAGGATAACTTACAACTCGCACCGATCTATTACGCATTTTTGTCCGTGAGTTACGGTAATAACGATGTTCAATGACCATTTTCGAGTGCTTTTAAAACAAATAAGTAACATTGTTAAACTTGGTTAGTAAAAGCATATAAATTTCCATCACCATAAAAAATACTACTCTTTATTTTATTATTAATCATCCTGCACCACTAAATAATCATGCACAAGTAAATATGTATATACTATACCTACCAACGGGACCAACATAAAAAAAAAAAAAACCTCGGATCGGTCTATCCCGTGAAATATACCTGCGGCACTCGACAGAATGTTCAGGCTCATTATTTCCCTTCCCTCGTTTTCCGCCCTGTATGCATCACTGTACAAAGATGATAACGGACGCGCGCTGCTGTCGCAATTGCGCCTTTTCCCGTAAAAAAAAAAAAATAAAAATAAAAAAACCGAAATAAAGTCACGAGCTGTACATATGCACAAAAGTATAGTATAAGGTACAACTCTTCTTCTCGAGGGGGGGGGGGGGCAAGGTACACAAGAGCAACGAACTCGTGCGCGCAAGTTTAATGAAGCCGGCTCGAGATCAATCGTTGCTGCGCTGCAACCTCATGCATGTATATTATATACACGTATACATTATACCTGCAGTCGCTGACCCACACAATCGATCCCTCGATTCGTAAGTTTGTATGAACGCGGCGTGGGTGTCTTTGTACGTATAGGTATACGTGTATAAAATATGCAAAGCGTTTCATACATGCGAACCGAGGCTATACATACCCTGGCACGTGTGTGTATACATGTTGTTGGTAAATATATCGGGGGAGAGTTTGTTGCATCGATTGTGGAGCTCTAATGGACTTTCAGTGCTCTATACCAAAAGAGAGAAAGAGAGAAATGCGTTTTCAAAACAAAAAACTCGATAGTACATACATACCGAATGTATGTTTCAAGATTTTTTTAAGCGCGAAAGCAAAAGATTGTCACACGCACGTGGATAAAAATCGGATGATGAGCGACCAAACGGTAATCACACATACAACTGATTATAACGCCAGAGGTAGACGGGAGAGTATTTTGCAGCCTACACACGTAATATGTGGACGTTTAATTAAAGGATATGTTCAATTACCGCACCCGAGGATAAATCAATTCCACGCCACCCATACCGATTCCATACCGATTTTCACAGCGAATCTCGCGCTAATAGTTAATTTTACGAGGTACAACAATACAGTTGAACTAGTTGATTGACTTGTTGTTTTTAATACCCATAGTGAAAGTGAGCGCGTTGCAATAATTGGGACAGCACAGTCGCTGAAATGTGTGGATAAAGCACGTGGGTGCAAAAAAAAAAAAAAAACGCGACTTGAGAAGCGAGAGAAAAGTTTATATATGCATGCGCCCTGATATTCTAATTAACTTCCCCTCTTGTATAGCACAAGTAGGGTACAGTCACGGAACAATCACCCAGAGTAGCGCACTTGTAACAATCCCTCTCTCTGCCGGTTGGCTGTGTGATTCACTTAAAACACTTGTTTTATTATACGTACACGTTTATGCATGTATGTACAATACAAAGTCAGGATTGCACTAATATAGAGCACATTCGTGTATGGCAAAAGCGACCCAATGACCTGGAAAATGAAAAAAAAGTGCCATTGGAGCAATTCCCGTAACACACGTTTTTGATCAATTGCACACCAGTCTTTTCTTTCTTTCTCTCTTGCTTTGGCCGATTTCACACTTCATTTCGTCCGTTGCGTAGCAATTTACTCTCTCACGGCTCCTTGCCTTTTTATGTATACATATACACGCGAGATATATCTGTTACAATAACAAAGTATATGTAAAAAAATTCACCCAAGCATCGCAAAAAACAAAAAAAAACAGCAATACAAGAGATCGTACTAAATTACATAGCGTGCGTTTCTACAGTGCGTGTAAATATTATATACACATGTAGGTACTAAAAATATATGATGTAGGTAATAGTAGTTACTACTTGTACACGGGAATTTCAATATCATGCAATACATATGTATATATATATTATTACGTGAAATGAACGGAGGGAGTATAGGTATTAATATTGTATTTTGGGGTAAGAGGTATCACAGTGTAGTCGTCGGCTACCATGATCGTTCTCGCAGTTGTTGCCGGAGTATCGGGCGTAGCAGTGGCACTCGTATCGGTCCTGCCTCGACACGCACCTGCCGTGCATCATGCACGGCGAGTGCTGGCAATAATCCGTCACCCCGTGAATAAGCCCATTGCCGCTCTGGAGTCCCGTGCTCGCGCCGATCTGCACCGCCGGTGTCTGCGTCGTTGGCTGCGGGATCGCCCCACCTGCGAAATTTTTTCACCCTCTAGGTATCTACTGCCTTTTTTTTTTTTTTTCATCCCTCCCTGTGATTCCTTTCAGTGAGCTATCGCTACTGTACTTAATATGCATTTTTGGCTGTGAGAAAAATCAAACGCAAAAAAAAAAAAAAAATCGGTGCAGCGCACACACTCACAAAACGCTCGTATCCAACGAAATCGTCTCAGAGGACATCTTTTAAACAATGTAAATATTGTCTTTTTACGAAAAAAAAAAAAAAAAAAAAAAAAAAATCGGTGCTGTTGATNAGAGAAAAAAAATTTTTTTTACTTTGATGATCCCAAATTAAGGCTTATTTCGCTCTAACTCCATTATTTATGGAGATACGGCCGTTTTAATTTTTGGCCATTTTGAAAAACCAAAATTCCAGTTTTAGAGTGTTTTTACGGGCTTAGGTCCATTCACTATGATGTTCAAGACAACCTGGTATTTTGACGAAAAAAAAAAAAAAAAAAAAAAAAATCAACTTGTGTCTATACCACATACAGCTCGTGATCTAATGATCTAAAAAGTGCTGTGACTACAAAAAAACTTGCACTATGATCTAAAAAAACGCAGTTCTACCAGCTTCAACTGTGGTTGGAAAAAAAAAAAACAACAACAAAATCTCTAATTTTCCATCGGCCTGCGGTGGTTGCCGTGGGACAATGAACGTTTGTTCCTCCTTCTCGTACCTACATGTATAAGAACGCGGGGGGAGAGACAAATGCATTTCCTCGCTTTGGTAGAAACAAACGGCAAAATAAACTCGTGCCTCTACACGTCACGAACTCCGGGAAAAAAAAAAAAAAAAAAAAAAAAAAGATGAAAAGCATGGAACGAGAAAGGGAGAGATAGATCTATCTCCCCTTGGCACTTTGAAAGCGCGCCAACTGTTTCCCGGAAGGGTTGGATTGAAAAATCCCGTGGCTGCTGTATTATATACTGCACCTACGTTGGATCGAAGGGGAAGAAACAGGAATGGAACAAAAGGAAAACTTAGCACGGAGACCCATTATTAGGTACGCGCGATTCGTTGTTGGCGATTCGTCCCGAAAACTGTAAGAATAACGACGTACAGGATATATATATCAGGACGCGGCATTGAACACTCACATGGTTTGTTGTCGAGGGGACAAGTGCCGAAGACGGCGCCGTTGCTCAGACTATCGTTGAACAGTATACTCGGGCCCTGGAGTATGCAGCCGCGAAAACCATCGCCCACGATAAGGGTGCCATTGGACCCGCTACTGCTGTGATCCGGCAGCGTAAACACCTCCGAGTTATACGTGGAGTTAGCCACCACCTGCAACGATCAAAACCCGATTGTACACCCATAATTATGATATTACACGTATAAACGCGGAAAAACCATATAGATTGGTCGATGTGTAATGGTACTCGATAACGATGCAGCACCTGGGAGTGACCAGCAGTGTTGAGGGTGAGGTTGCCGAGGCGCACGATGAGGTTGACGTTGTGCCAGTAGTTGTCGAGGAGCCGGGCGTTGAGCCGAGCGTCGAGTTTGCGGCCCTGTACCCGGGCGTAGAAGACGAGGCCGTCGTGATCGACGAGCAGGCCGATCGAGTCGTTGGGGGGTAGGCGCTGCTCGAAGAGCTTGCCGGGCTCGCAGCCCCGGAAACTCAGGCCACTGTGCCGGTGTACCGAGACGTAAGACTTGAGGCGCAGGTACGCCGTTCCGTCGAAGTAGGCCTCGCGTTGGTTAGCAAAGGGCGGCGCCGAGCCCACCGGCTCGTCTATCGTCAGGTGATCGAGTTGTTGCTGCTGCGGGGCACCGTGGCTACTCGTCGTCAGCAGTGTCGCCAGCACTGAAAACACCGATCATCATTTTTATACCATTCGTTTGATTGTTTATAATGTCAAAGGCACATTCATTGTATTTTACGGGAAGGAGGACGACTATATATATAGATTTACCTCGCACTCAAGCTCAACTAAAATTTTGCCTAAAGTTATCGTCCTTACATATTATGTAAAAATTTAATTTTTCCTCTTGCCGATGTGGAATTTTTCATAAATACCTACCTACACGCGCAAATAATTAAAATACGTGAGAAAATCCAAATGAAACTCGAAAGCACACACGAAAAATAAGTATCCCGTATATCCTATAATCCAATGAAATGTGTGCACTACGTGCATGATCACATTGTATACGCTTTGTATACATGCATGTCAGCTATAGTTGATACACCAAAATATCAAACCGATTCAAGCAAACATTGACGCTCGCAGAATGAAAAAAAAAAAAAAAAAAAAAAGGCCGATTGGCCCTTGT